TACCCAGCCACGATGGACTACAACATGGACTCTCACTGGTCCTCCACTGCTGCTGCTTGCTGTGGACCGCAGCCACCTGTCATGGAACGTTGCCAACACCCTTGCCACAGCTATGATTTTCATCGCGTCCATCTCTGCATTTTCATCTACTACGGCTTGCTGCTCCACGATCGTTACTCACTCATCTGACAGCCTCATCAATGATTACATCATGTTGGATCTACAGCTTGTCCTGCCGACTCTCCGTCGCTGCCAGGGCACTGCTTGTCCTACGCCCACGACAGCTGCTCTGTCATCAGATTCATCTACACGTTCACTGCATTTTGATACTCGGCCGACTCAAGCCCTTTGCGCAGTACAGGACTTACAGCTTGCGTTTCCGACACTTCGTCGCCTTCAGGACAATTCAGCTCTAGATGTGATTACTTCGTTGTCCTAACTACGTGCCTACATTACCTCCTAATGTCCTGGTGCCCGAGCCCATCCGCCCCGGATCTAAATGCTCCACCAGCGACCCAAGGACGCAACAATTATGCACATTCTTCTCTCCTGCTACACCGAGCTTGTCCACACACTGCCTACATCTTTTGGTACCAGACTACAATTTCCACAGTCAACAATGTAGTACTCGGCGTGTACAGTCCTAATCAACCCAAAACGTTACAGCTTCGACACTGAGCAGACAGCAGACTACGACCGCATCGAGCCGCCACGCTCTCGCTCCCCGAGTTTAGACACACAATTCTCAATCGAGCCGCCACGCTCTCCCACATAGAGCTCCACGACTCCGGCCTCACTCAGCTCTCTGCTCTGCTCCAGGCTTCGTCTCAACGTCTGCGACACTGCTAAATCCAGAGACACATCCGCCGACTACGCAGTTCACTTTTCGACCCCAATTACCAGCCGCACCACAACCTGATCCTACGACGACGGACGATCCTGTGCGACCTCCCACCCTACGACCCCAGTTAGATGACATCAGCGAAGAGGAGGAAGTTAACTTTGATGGTTATGTAACGCGAGCAGGGCGTACAATTCACCGACCAGCTAAGTTCCTTGATCAAGTATTTTTCCTTTCATCCCCTGGGAGGGGGAGTTCTGTAGCGAGTAGATTATCCCAATAATATACTCGCTCCAAATGCTTTGTTAATATTCCTGTCAACCTTTGGAGATGAATGAGGTGAGGCGTTGCCCGGGCATATAAGCAGCAGGATAGCAAACATTAACCAGAGTTTACTTTCAAGTGTGGTCTAGAGCAGACACTTGCGAGATACTGTACCAACGCTCAGTGCGCTCAACTCACACCAACGTATCACCTGTGTACTTCTGTATATTCGACCAAATATATATATAGTATCTTAGTGTCTGTGTTTATTTGTCACCATACTTTACGTAACAATAGAACCGTTACAATATATTCTATATACTGAATTATATATACTATGCTTATATAATATATACTGAAATATTGTTACATTTAACGTATGAAACAAAGTATATATCTGTATTTTTAATAAAATATAAAACATTAATATTTATCAACGTATCTCTGTGAATTACATAATTTATCAGTATTGTACAGCCTGTGATCTCCACCTGGCTGGCCACTGATACCTAAGTAGCTTTCATGTGTCCGGACACCGACGATAGGATTGTATTATTTAACTTTAAAGAGAGAGATATTTCTTGAAATGTTGTCACATTAACGTCTACATCTTCCTTCCTTCTGACATATAGATTTTAAGGTTAATTAGCATATATGGAAATAAATTACACAATTTATAGGAAGGTGTGAAGGGCTTCACACTCTTAGAGCAAGCCATCAAGAAACTGTACAGTATCAAATGCATATATCTTCGCTTTCACTTCAGTTATATTTATGACAAGTATTTAAAGTGTAGCTTATATTTCTGCCTTTCTGTTGACATAGAAAACTTTCGTTTATTACATTATCTAGATAAAATTAGCATTGATCTTCAAAAGGTTGTAGTTGTAACTTCCATTATAAACAACATTATTATTGCAAACAGTAGGAGTTTCAAAGTCTCATTTGTATGGATACCTTCTCATATAGGTGTTGTCCAGCATGATGACACAAACAAGGCAGCTAAGACTGAATGTGATAAGCCTGAAGTTGAGTGGGATATGGGCATTCCAATCTCTTCTGTCAAAGCCGCAATATTTTAGGAAATTAGGGAAGACAGAAGAGCAGTCACTGACACACAAAAGCCAGAAAGCAAGAGTATAAAGAGCTATGACATGTTTATGTGCCTCTGTAACCTTTGCCATACCGCCCACAAGATGATATATGGGGTGCATAATTAATGAACTAAACTAAGTAAACATGTTTAGAATCGAGAATTTTATGAACGGACAGCATAAAACTTCCACTAGTGTCACAATGACAGTGTGACATTGTAATTGCCAGAATTAGGCTAGGATATCGATATGTATCGCAGGTGGCTGCAGGTAATGAATAGCCCCCAATGGTGAATATTCCAATTGTAAACTATGTGAACAAGAGCTGGGACATACTCACCAACACTATATCTGTGATTGCCCTGTTATAAGTGACTTCAGACCAAATGGTATAAGGTACTTTGAACTCTGTAATTACTTCATACACTTAGGAATATTGGAAGATATTCTTATGCTGTACCCGAATTTTGCTAACGGAGGCTAATAGATCAGCCTTATATTTTATGGTCTCACCTGATTGTTACCTTGAGGTAGGCCCGTAAGTGGTAGTCCTCTTGAACCATTAACAGTATCAATAGATGATACTGGAGATCTGTGGAGGTGCGACTGGACCCTGCGTGACGGGAGATGTATCCCTTGTTTCTTGTGATTGATTGATGAGGATTAAGCCACCCAAAAGGTAGCACGGGCATGAATAGCCCGTAAGTGGTGTTCTTGTTAGTCACAGTTGATTTTTTTTTAATGAGGCTGGTATTTTATCCCCTGATTCCATGTATAACTAACCATCCTGTGAGATGGGAATATTTAATGAACTTATAGCTAGTTTTTGATATACACTGTGTAATCTTTCATATAGAATAGAGTAGCAGCACATTACTGTGTATACCTAAGCTTGTTAATAATAACAAAAAAAAAGTTAGTTTCTATCGATAGGGAGAGCGATGGTTCAAAAATCCTTCTTTAAAATATGAATATCTTTCCTATCTCACTAAGATCTAATCTCTGTGATTAAAATGCAAAATTGACTTTGTCACTGCCTTTTTGATAACGCATACAATCATAAGCTTATTTGTGAATCTCTATTAAACAGTAAATCAGAGAGCGTGTAAGGTTCCGTGTTCCATGTCCGAAGAAACAGGGAGATTTTACATAAATACAGTACATGATAGTTTAAGTAGCGAACGCATACCAACAAATAACGATTAGTATCTATAACAAAAATATTGTTCTATGGAGTTGATTTAACTTCCAACCATGTATTTTTAAATAATCTTTAACGTTTTCTGGCTAGTTATGTTAGATTTGATTAAAAATACGCATTCTACTTGTTAATATCGTTAGATTTGATTAAAAATACGCATTCTACTTGTTAACATCATAAATTAAATTTGCGATAATTTGAGCAGAGAAGTTCGACGACTGGATCACTGTGTACAGAAGGTTGATATGCCAGCAAACACTTTCCAGAGAGCAATATATCTTGGATAAGTCGCTCCACGATATTGTTGCTTGGACCATCGACTTCCTTTGATATTACATATTTACATCTTATTTTGTTATGAAATGATATTTTTTCAGAGTAAAATTATGTTTTCTCATTTTCTGCAACCAGCATCCACATTATAGTGAGTAAATATACCATATTACTTCATTGCTTACGTAATGCTAGGAAGGTTTGAGTAGCTTGCGGTCTTTAGTGGACAGAATCTCCAATAGATGGGGCGAGTCTCCCCATCTCTCTCGACCGGGCGGGACTCGAACCTTAAATTAAAATTGCTATATCATTGGTCTCCAACATGATATATTTCCTTTGATGCACTCACAATAACGATTATAGCTCTGTCTTTCTGGAGGCATGTAATATTTTAGGCTTTATTAGCGTATCTTTGTTAATTACACAACATATTGGCAAGTGCGTAGGCGTCTGCACTCCATGACCGAAAAGCTACTGAACGCCACTATAAAAACATATATATCTTCACTTGAGCTTTAAATATGTCTAATGTAATGTATTTAAAATAAAGCTTATATTTCTATCTTTCTTAAGACGTGTAAAACATTTGTGTTTATTAACGAATTTACGTAAAATAAACATTCTTCTGAGAGAGTTGCTCTGTCGCTCAGTCTATGCGGGGGTTGGAGCTCGGCGATTATTAAAATACATGAATCTTCATTAGAATTTTAATTATGTCTATGATAAAGTGTTTAAAATGAGCCTTATATTCCTATCTTTCTTGAGGCATATAAAAAATTTACGATTATTTACAAATTTACGTGAAATAAGCATTGTTCTGAGAGAGAGTTGCTCCGTCGATCGATCTGTCTGGAGTCGGCTATTATAAAAGTACACGTATCTTCGCTTTAAATTTAAATATGCACATGGTAAGGTATTTAGAACGAAGCTTATATATCTGTCTTTCTTGTGACATATAAAACTCTTACGTTTATTAAGGAATCTGCGTGAAATAGGCATGGTTCTGAGATGAATGCTGCGGTTTTCGAGTTTGACGAGCGATGAAAACTGCCACTTTTATACAACTACAAATATCTTCGGTTTTGCTTAAAATATTTGTCTGGTAGAGGTTTTACATATAGATCGCGTTTCTGTCTTTCTTCTGACTAATAAATAATTTTGGTTTAATCAGTTATCAAGATGTTTTCAACAATATTCTTTCAGTGTTCGTCTTTTCCAACTTGGGCGACCCTTTTGGAAGCGCGATACTTGGGTTAACCCATCCTATAGTTGGGTCTGTTTCCAACTGGGGTTCGAATAGGGACACTGGGATGTGTAGTGGGGACACCGGGACGTGTAGTGGGGACACTGGGACGTGTAGTGGGGACACCGGGAGGTGTAGTGGGGACACTGGGACGTGTAGTGGGACACCAGGACGTGTAGTGGGGACACCGGGACGTGTAATGGGACACCGGGACGTGTAGTGGGGACACCGGGACGTGTAGTGGGGACACCGGCGCGCGCTGTAATGAAGGACATGTGACATGGTTGAGTACGACTGGTCCAGCCCCGTTATGTACCCTAGGCGGCGCTTGGTACACGGCTCGCTTGCCACCCTCTCCCTCCTCCATTGATCATAATACTGTAAGTTTTTCCTCGAGCCTAATTATTATACACCCTATACCCATTATGTGGGCGGTAATGGGAAAGGTACATAATGGGCTGAGAAAATAAACCCCAAAATTGAATTCTTGAATTTACCCGAGAGCCACCATTTCTGTAGCGGCATCGACGGGGACGGGAAGGCGGCGGCTTGTCAATGACCCCCGCCCCTACCCCGGGGCCTCTTCCCCCTTTTTCCTGATTTTTTTCCCCCCAGCTGGATTTTAAATTGCAGTAATGTCTTGGCATAATTATTTGTGGCTTCAGCGGCTAGGTGGTTCCTTGAGTTTACAACCCTATGGGTGAATAGCATGTGTTCTCGGTCCTACATCTGGTATTTTGTCAATTCAATTTCTTTCTTTATTATGCACCCCATACCCATCCCGTGGGCAGTGGTGGAAAGGGTTACAGAGTCACATAATGGGTTCAGGAATTGAACCCCAGAGTTCATTTAGCTAAGCATTTAGCTAAGCTAAGCAAGTGACAATCTCTTGAAACTAGTTACACAATTATTAATGTTATATATTCATGTACATATATAGAATATTTACACAAATACATATACACACATCGATAATTTTTTTTGTGTGTCACAAGTGATTCAACAAGAGGCTCACAACAGTCACTATACAAGGCACTTTACATCTATGGTGAGTCACACAGTTACAAGTCTTGTTCCACACCCACCCAACTGGGCGGCAGCTTTACAGTCATGTGCAGGCTGCACCTACAGTAAGCAAATTTTGGATACTTCGCTAACATTTATGGCAGTATGTACATTATTATGAATCAAGTACTTACACATTTCGTGGACACCATTGATGGTGTTATCTCTGAATTCCACGATTTTTTCACATTCCATTATATAATGACGCAAAATAAGCGAATAGTTCTGCTGACAGTTTACATTTAGTCAGATCTACATCAGCAGATGTTACAAACTCCCAGAGGTACTTGTAGCCGAGCCTAAGCCTAGCAGTGGTAACATCTAGAAGTCGGTTAATCTTATTGGTATTTTGTCATGTGAGCATTTTGTCAGTTATTTTTTTTTTTTTTTATTGTGTTAGCCTACTGGGTTTTGCCCACATCACTGATTATAATATTGTTCATCTTACTCAGTGATCGTGCTCATTGTGGTCTTAATATTATTGTATGAAGTGGCTCTTGTATTATAATGTACATTACTTTTTATATTGAATCATGACTTTAATAGTGTACTGTAATGTATGTATATTGTACTATACATTTTATATATACAGTACCTTTGGCTGAATTTATAAACTGAAATGCAATACTATATATGTATATTCTCAAATATGAGTAAATATTTTGTTATTTGCAGCTTAATATATGCTGTGCTTTGTTGTGGAACATGTCAAGAATAAGATGAGGAGAAAAAGGCTTTTGAAGGTAAGGCAAGTATTACAGGTATGTGTTGAATATTTGATTATAGTACTGTATTGACATGGAAAATTTAAACTGTGACAATATACAGTATATAATATATATAATATATACTGTATATAATATAATATTATGACTTGATGGCAAGTCACCATTAAGGGAGTCATGTTTTCTTCATTCATGGAGTATTTATTTTATGTAAAAGTAAACAAGAGGAAGAGTAACAGATGGCAGTCAGAGTGAGATCTCATACCCAGGCTGGCTTATTACCACACTGAGTAAGGGTCACTTGTCATAGTCATCTAGTAAGCACCCTTCAACCTATGATGAAAACTTGCCTACTTCTGTTTTCTTATCCCTTGACTGACCTTCATCAAAAACAAAAAAACAAATGTTTATTCAGGTAAAGTACATACATACAAGGTGTGATACAAACATTGATGGATTTATAGATAGAGCTAGTACATGCAATGCCTAAAGCCACTATGATGCAAAGCATTTCGGGCAGAAATGATGGCAAGACATGGACAATAGCTCCACAAAATGAGCTCTTAATGATCATTACCTAATGATCTGTTATCATTAACATTACATTACTGTTATCAAGTCTTGTCCCAACACACCAGGTCTCAAAGACCAATACATTGTCAACTGGAAGTCAGGACCAAAATGTGGCTCACTCTACAAGACTAGAGGAGGCTTGGAAATCAGAGATTGACTCCAAACAGAGAAAAAAATAGTAGAAAGCATACACAATAAAACATGGAGAAAAACAGCACCATGAGGTAAACAAGACAAGCGATTATTGTCATGATTTATACTACAGACCAAACCAGACAAGACAGGGCTGATCTCATTGAGACCGTTGAAATACTAAAAACAAATTTAAGGATATTATTTCAAACCACTACTATAAAGGATCAAATGTAGCTCTCACACAAGAGTCAACAGCTTAAAGTTAGCTTCAATTTTGGACTGACAATTGGAGATGCTTTTTTACTCTTTGGATAATAAACCCGTAGAATCTTTTACCTGTCGATGCCTTAAATTCTGAATTAGTGCTCCAGTTCTAAATCCAATTGAAAAAATCTTTGGGAATGATGGGGTAGAGAAGGTGGCCCTCTGGCAAATTCAGGCAAACTCACATCCTACTTTTTTTTTTTTCTTATTCATGTAATGGAATTTATTACAACTAAAAGTACAGTTTAGATTAGTATTTAAAAATCTCCCTCTAATTTTGTTTAATACAAGATTTTTTACCATGGCAGGTTCTCCTTGTTATGGTGATTGCAGCAAGTGTGGTGTATTATTCTTTAGATTCTAAAAAACCTACTCCTGTTGAAATTGCCCTCATGCCATCTTGGGTGCTGCAGAATCTGCAAAAGGAGTTGGGGTAAGCATTAACTGATGCCATCTTTTAATTTTATATATCCTGTACTTGCAGTATGTATAGAATTCTAATACATTTCCGATTTAACCTGGTGTGTTGTAATTTTTTCCTTATTGTAAATACTGTATTTGACTGTAATCCAGCCATAGCAAGTTCATTCACCCCTCATGATATGTCATAGTATAAGGTTTTCAGAGACATTTGCTCCATCTATTTTTCCTTTTGATAATGAGACTACTATATTCTAAACTACGTTTCAAAATGCTGTACTGCACATCTATACCTCTCGTATACCTGTCGATGATTCCGAGGATCAACATCCCTGTGGCCTGGTCTCTGATCAGGCCGCCTGGTTGGTGGTCTGGTCAGTTAGGCTGTTTGACCCAGTTGCTTGCAGTCTGATGTGAGTCATAGCCTGGTTGATCAGGTACTGTTTCTTTTAAAAGTGTTTATCAAGTTATCTTTTGAACACTACAAGAAGCTGGCCAGTTATGTCCCTTGTGTGTAGATGTGTTGAAATGTCTTGGGTCTTTGATGTTGATTGCATTATCTTTGCCTATTGCACCTCTGCTTTTCAATGGGGTTATTTTGCATCCTTCCATGCATTCTGGTCTCGTGTGGTATTATTTGTGTGTGCAGATTTGGAACTATTCCTCCAAGTATTTTCCAAGTGTAAGTTATTATGCATCTCTCCCACCTACATTCTAGGAAATAGTTATTCTTTTAAGTTATAAAGTAGGTTATTTATTTTGGAACTCGATATTTCTGGTCATCTTTGAGAACATGAATATTTATTATTGTGATTAGACTTAATCGGTTTATTATTTAAAAGTAAATTACGATTAAAGCAATAACTAGGCCTGAATGAAAAGTGGCTGAGGGCATTGTGTTGTTGGTTTGTTTCATATAATAGTTCCTAGTGCACAGTGGTTGAGAGTGGGCCCTTTTGCCATGCATCTTCAAAACAAAACACTTTACTTAATTACATGAAGTTTTCAATTTTCATTTTTTAAATTATATCTTTTTAAATGTGACTTCCAGCCAACAATGCAACCTGTCCTCAGACAAAGTCCATTCCATCGAGCAGTCGACCCCAAAGACGCATTCATCAATTTAAACATGCCATTCATTCGAAACAGGAATTTTCTCAAATATGAATTAATATTATTATATTTTAACATATTGTGCATTGATTAGGTTAAGTTAGGAGTTTAGGTTTTGTTGGCGATTATTTGTATTTGTAGTATGTAGGTGAAGCATTTACAGCATTGAGGTTCAAACAAAAGTTGTCAGCTCCGGAAGTGTTGTCTTGTTGGAAGTGAAAAGTTGTCAAGTGTCGGCTTCAGAACACTTCCGGAGCATCCAGTGTTGCTCCGGAAATGTTCTGAGTGTTCGGACGTCATCAGTTGTGAGTCTTGTGTGAACTGTTTTTCATTCATAAACATTCATTTGAAGGGTGCATAGAATGGTCTTTGGCCATTGTTTATGAAGACAGGCTGAACAATGATCGAGTTATTTTTCAGGTCTCTTCACTTCGTTGTTCATAGCATTTGTCTCATCATGATTCACAGTTCTGAAATACAATTACACCATAAAAGGGAAATATGGACAACTAACATTTTGTTTTAGATTTTATTACTTTAAGGAATTTTTTAAAATGTTGCTTAATGTAACAGTCTCCAGTACATTTGACACTAACAGTTGTGGAATGTTTTTGTTGTGAATGTAGTAATGAAAATTTAAACTTTGCTTAATGTTTCAGTGTCATTTTCAAATGTATATTAACTTAGGCTTATGATTACAGTCAAGTTCTGGAGTCCTCATTATTAGAACATCCAGTTATTCCATTTGAAGACAACTTAACAGGAGAGATCCTCATGCCTTTGGACTTCATTGATGAACCTGAATTCAACCTAAAGAACAACAGTAATCCACCTTTAAAGAAGATTCTCATGTGGAATGAGGTACAGATTACAAATTTTGTTTGATAATCCTTATTTAAATCATTATAAACGTAGATAAATTATTAACCCACAATTTTTGGTGCTGCTCCTCCAGTTCCCTACTTTGTGTATACAGTACTGTACTGTATTTCTGCTTCTTTGCTACCCCTACCCCTCAGTGTCTCCTTTTCTTCTCTAGCATTCAACATCACCTTACTTGGCAATTTCAATTTATAAATATATATATATATATATTATATATATATATATAATGTATGTATAATATATATGTATATATATATATATATATATATATATATATATATATATATATATATATATATATATATATATATATATATATATATAATGTATGTATAATATATATGTATATATATATATATAATGTATGTATAATATATATGTATATATATATATAATGTATGTATAATATATATGTATATATATATATATATATATATTGTATATTATTCTAATATACAAACCGCCAGATGCAACGGCCGAGGAATTCACAGAACAGATAAACAAAATAGAGAATAGCCTTGATAATTTGGAGAACCTGATACCTGATATTATCTTCCAAGGTGACTTCAACTTGCCTAGTCTCAGATGGAGAATAGCAAACAATAATATTATATCAGGAAATCTATCAGGGACCTAACCAACCACAGATAAGAGAACTACTTAGATTCTGTGACAAATTTTCACTCGACCAGCAGATATCAGAGCCAACGAGAAATGAAAATATTCTAGATCTGGTCTTTATGAACAATGAAGACATTATCAGGGACATTACGATATCAGATACCACATACTCGGATCACAAGCTCATTGAAGTGCAAACGACCATCAATACTCAGAATAGACCTAAAACGTTGATCAAGCGAGAGGGGTTATTCAGTATATTCAATTTTAATAATAAAAGGATAGACTGGGAGAAAATAAACAGGGAACTTACAAACATTCCATGGGAAACTGTTCTAAGTCATAAAATTCCTACAGAAGGAATAGAAAAACTGACTTCGGAAGCGTATCAAGTCTGTCTGAAACATGTTCCTTTGAGGAAAGCCAGAAAGAGATCCAACGTAGAAAGAGAACGCAGATGACACTATAAAAGAAGGAAAAAAATAACGGAAATGCTTAAGCAGACATGACTTTCCCGTCAAAGAAGGAATAATTTAAATAGGGAGATTGAAGAAATTGAGCGGAAATTGAAACACTCGTATCAAACTGAAGAAAGGCAGTTAGAACAGAAAGCAATTCAGGAAATAAAGAAAAATCCAAAATACTTCTTCACATATGCGAAATCAAAAGCAAAAACCACTGCCAGTATTGGACCTATTCGTACAAGTGAAGGTTCATACACGGAGGATGACAAAGAAATTAGTGAAATCCTAAAAAAGCAGTATAAGGACATGTTTAACACTCTAATAAACAACATGAAAGTGGAAGATCCAGACAATTTCTTTATGCAGGATATCCAAACCCCTGTAAATATAACTGATATCAACACGAGCCTACTAGACTTTGAAAAGAGAAATTGAAAACATGCCCATGCATTCGGCCCCGGGTCCAGATTCGTGGAATTCAACATTTATAAAGAAATGCAAAGTGCCGGTAGCACAGGCACTCGGTATAGTGTGGAGGAAGAGCTTGGACATGGGGAAGATACCAGATGCACTTAAAGTAGCAGACATAGCCCCTCTACACAAGGGAGGGAGCAAAGCATTGGCAAAGAATTATAGATCAGTTGCACTAACGCGCACATAATAAAAGTATTTGAGAGAGTGATTAGGAGTCGGGTCACCAATTTCATGGAGACCAATGACCTTCACAACCCATGCCAACATGGATTTCGAGTGGGGAAAATCGTGCCTCTCACAGCTACTTGATCACTACGACAGTCACCGAGGCATTAGAAGAAAGACAAAATGCTGATGTGATATACACGGACTTCGCAAAGGCTTTCGATAAATGTGACCATGGAGTGATAGCACACAAAATGAAGTCAATGGGAATAACCGGTAAAGTAGGACACTGGATACTCAGTTTTCTGTCAAACAGGACTCGGTGAGTAACAGTCAACCATATAAAATAGAGTCCAAGCGCAGTTAACACTTTCGCGCTCTCGGCGCTCAAAAAAAAAAAAATACCCCAGATGCTTTCGGCACTTCGCGCGCCTACGCGGTAAGACCGAAAAGTGTACACTCTTTTGACTGTCCTGACAATAATTAAAGGCGCACGTATTTAAATTTGGTATCACTGTGTTCGCAATGAAATTGTCTATAAGAGCATACCTATAAAATGCCGCCCAAGCATAAGGAGTATCAACACCAAATAAAAAACTATGCAGATCACTCGCCGAGAGCGCCAAACAGCAACAAAATGTTTCCACTCTCTTAATGGTTGCGAAGCCTACAGTTGTCCTACATCGCTAATTTTGGTATCATTGGAATCGCAATAAAATTCTCTACACGGACATATGCATATGAATGTTTAATATAGGTAATTGCCCACCCGCAAAAGTGTGTGAAGTGGAGAGTAGTTAGCCGCGAGCGCACTGGCGAAAACACAGGGGGGAAATCATGCTTGGAAAGTTTATACGTTTCCTGACCCTACTTTTCTATGTACGTATTTCTTTTTTATACCAATGTGTTCGAAATAAAATTTTCTATAAGATGAACTGTATAACATTTGTACAAAGCATGTGTAAGAGAAGCGCCAAATATAGAACCACGTCGCTCAGTATGCGTTCGCGGCAGAAACGAACGCATTGTTTTCGTTCGTTTGATGTTTGTCATGTTTATACTTGTTGAAACATTTTATAATTTGTATGACAGTGATCGCAGTAAAATTCCCTACACTGACATATACATAACACATACAAATATTTCCCACGTGTTGGATATATCAACGGCTAAAGGGAACCCACTGCCACACGCTCGCCACACCCCCAAACATACTTTGTGTATTTTTTTTTTTACTCATAGAAGTTTATGTGATATAATATTCATTTTGGTACCAAAACATTCGCAAATAAATTCTCTACAAAACAAAAGTATCCCCATCCATTTCGGTTAAAAAATGGAATTTATAGAAATATTTTTTCGATGGACGAGAAAACTAGGCAGTTATGCGGAATCGTAAGAGAAAACGGCGACGAGTTATCTCTAATATAAAGCGCGAAAGTGTTAAAAGCTCTGTACCTCAGGGTTCAGTCCTTGCACCGCTGCTTTTCCTTATTCTCATATCAGATATAGACAAAAATACTAGTCACAGCTTCGTATCATCCTTTGCAGATGACACAAAAATCAGTATGAAAATTACCTCGGCTGAAGACATCGAAAAACTTCAAGCTGATATTAATAAAGTTTTCGACTGGGCATCAGAAAATAACATGTTAAACTGTGATAAATTCCAGATGCTCAGGTACGGTAAAAATGAGGACCTTAAACATAATACAGGGTACAAAACACAATCAAATGTGCCCATAGTAGAAACAGCATGTAAAGGATTTGGGAATAATGATGTCTGACGACCTAACGTTTAGGGAGCATAACCAAGCAAATATTGCGTCAGCCAGAAAAATGATCGGATGGATTACGAAAACTTTCAAATCCAGGGATCCCATCACAATGGTTGTACTCTTCAAGTCACTTGTGTTGTCCCGTCTTGAGTACTGCTCAGTACTCGCTTCCCCCTTCAGAGCAGGAGAGATTGCTGAAATAGAGGGAATACAGAGAACATATACGGCACGCATAGACGCAATAAAGCACCTAAATTATTGGGATAGTCTCAAAGCCCTCCAAATGTACTCTCTAAAAAGAAGACGAGAGAGATATGAAATAATATACACCTGGAAAATATTGGAGGGCCAAGTACCTAATCTACACAGTAAAATAAACAACGTACTGGAGTGAACGATATGGAAGAAAATGCAGAATAGAACTAGTGATGAGCAGAGGTTCCATAAGCACAATCAGAGAACACTGTATAAACATCAGAGGTCCACGGTTGTTCAACACCCTCCCAGCGAGCATAAGAAATATTGTCGGAACAACTGTGGACATCTTCAAGAGGAAACAATCTAGTTTCCTCCAAGGAGTGCCGGACCAACCGGACTGTGGTGGGTATGTGGGCCTGCGGGCCGCTCCAAGCAACAGCCTAGTGAACCAAACTCTCACAAGTCAAGCTTGGCCTCAGGCCAGGCTTGGAGTAGAAGAACTCCCAGAACGCCATCAACCAGGTATCAACCAGGTTACCCAGGAGGCGACCGCCACTTACTACTTGACTCAAAGTTGAGACAAAATGACTGCAATCCGAGACCCAAGGCTACACAAATCCGAGAAGGGCCTGGAACATTAACGAGGTACTATGTGGCCAGGACCCTGTTAAACCTCCAAAAGCTTTGTACCCAAATGTCAACGCAGGACATATTACCAAAAACAGTAGTCAAAGCAGCGAACTTACGAATGTCAATGTCGTGGGCACGGGGATAGACCGCAGGCTGGCTGGACCAAATAATCCTGCAGACGACCTGCGAGACCCGTGCCCTGGAACACTGAAGAAGGGAAATCTGGCCAACCCAAAGCGCGTCTCCTGCCATGGAGGCTGTGGCACGCAAGTAATGGCGAAGAGCTGTTACTGGACATAAAACATGATGTACCCCCAGCCAAACCAATCGAGCATCAACAACCCAAAGACACCTCCGGAAAGCAGCAGTCTCATTCTTCACCAGAAAAGGAGACGGCTGCAAACGAACAAAACGACCACCAGGATCGAAAGAGCAAAATCCACATGCACCATAAGGAGAGCATAAAACTCCCTGACCTGACCCCCACAGGCCAATGCAAACAAGAAAAGAGCCTTAGAAATACAGTCCCGAACCGAAGGGGCCACCACAAACCGAGGAGAAGAGAGAAAAGAGAGCACCTGGTCCATCGACCAGGATGGCTCGGGCGGCACATGAGCAGGCCGGAGGTGAAATAATGCCTGAGAAAGCTTGTGGAACTGAGCAGAAGTAACATCCACCCCAAACGTAAGCTGAAGCAGCTCCGCTAGCTCCACATGATACGAGGCAACAGTATTCGGCATAAGATGACGGTCCTAAAACAACCAGGAGAGAAAAGACAAAACAACCCGATCAGAAATCTAAGAGAATCTACAAAGAGACAAAAAGTGCAGAAAGAACCGCCTGGAAACTTCATACTGCCACCGAGATGAAACTCGCAGGTGGGACACCATCAATGAAGCCATCTGATCACCATACAAGTGGTGATAAACCCGCGTAAAAAACAGACGTGAAGACTAGAGGCGAAGATCGAACGAGCCACATACCGGATCGGACCGATCTGCTGAAAGAGGTGGTGCCGCGAAAAGACATCCGAAGGAAGGGGAAACTGATTTTGGCCCCATTGTCTAGAGATGTCCATTATAGGGAAGTCCAGGTTTGAGAAGTGCATTTGTATTTGAATAATTATAAGCCAAAAAATGTACACAGCATGTCTTGACAGAGTCGAAAGATTTAACTTGGGTTGTCTTTTATCTTGCTTTATATTACACATTGGACATTTTGGGACATGGCACAGGAATTAGAACATGAGGATCTGTGATGTTATGGTACCAGGTCATGGAGGAAAGAGGCCTGAAGAACATTGGTATATACAATAGGATAATGACAAAATTTTAGCACTATACTTGTGTAGTACTGCTACAGAAATATATGTAGAATGAACAAGGTATTCTTGTAATCTTGTTTTCACTTAACCTTAAAACCTGCTATTATAGTACAATGTTAGTTTTCCTTGGTATTTTATATAAAGCTTTGTGATAAAAAAGGTTTTCTAACATGTATGGCATAATTAACTGATAGATGATCCACCAATTATTGGAGGAAAGTTTCTCGGTAGCAATAACTATTACAAACTGTTTCTATTAATAAATATATGCATAATGGAGTTTTGTAATGAGTATTAATAGTAGCCATTCTCCTCAGTTCTATGGAATGAAGCACCTTGAGATTGGGCTTGGACGGGAACCATTTGTACGGGCTGGTTGCCCAATCAACACCTGCTGGTTCACTGCCAATAAAACCTTGTTTGACTCCAGTGAATTGGATGCACTCATCTTTCATGCTAATAGTAAATTTACTACTCTCCCAGAGCTAAGGTATATTTAAACTACATTTGTAATTACCAAAGTCTTTATTCCCAAAGAAGTACTTATTTTCAGTTTTGTGTCGTGTATTTGGGACAGAGAAAATCAGAGAGAGTGGGTGGGAGAGACAGATCGGAGAGGGGGAGGGGGGTGAAAAGGGATCGGGGAGAGAGGATGGGGCAGAGGGATCGGAGCGAGAAGGGGGCAGAGGGATCGGAGAGAGAAGGGGAAGAAGTGGAGAGAGGGTGCATTAGGGATTGGAGAGAGGAAGGGAATGAGGATTGGAGAGAGAGAGAGAGGGAGGGAGGGAGGGAGAGGAGGCAGAGGGATCTAAAAAAAGAGGAGGCAAAGGGATTAGAAATAGAGAAAGAGAGGGGGGGAGGGATCGGAGGGGTGGGGAGTGCAGACATAGATGAGAGGAGAATATATAATAGTGACTTTAAAGGCTGAACTTGCCTCTATCTAAAGTCATATAATTTGTTTTTTGTTATTTTAATTAATTGCAGTACTTGATAAATTTTGTGTTTTTAATAGAATCTGTAAACTGTCAACAGATCTGTTCACACCCGCTATATCTTCTTCTTATTGGAACCCCCAACGGTCTTGGACGATTTTAATACGGACTTAACGCCTTACAACAATACCTTCAACTGGACATTCACATACAGGCTAGATTCAGATATCCCATTTCCGTAAGTAGGCTTGGTATTCACCGATGTATTCTGAACTTTATAGCTTCTAAAAATTTTTAAATGTAATTACAGAAGTTTTAATTTGTTATGCCTTGAGTGTGATCTGCATGTGCTTGACTCAATTTGTAGATTAACATGTTGTTGAGCACAATTTGAAGTATAATAGACTTAATTATGTAGAATAGCCGAGCTTACATTCTACTGTTTCCAGAAGTTATGTATCCTGCATGCCTCAATGGCTCATGACATGTGATCATGCAAAAATAGGTACAAGGATTACAGCATCCCTGCAGGGTCATCTGTGGTGCTAGGGACTCACTGGAGATGGTACCATTCAGCCCAGGATATTGATATTCAGATTCTGTTCACAAGCACAAGCTTTTCAGACTTCCAAGTGATGCGATATTTTGTGACTGCCATTGAGAACCGTAGATTGACCTAATTTAAACTAATATAAATAAAAGCATGAACCACCTCACTGCCATAAAGTGGCAGTAACTCCACACCCTGCCCCCCTCTACAACACAGGTTCCTCTGGCCCAGATGTTTGCCACATTGGGAGTTGTTCATACTTGTTTCCTGTTTACTTGCACATAAATACCATGTCTGTTAATAATTTTCTTTGCCTTCCTTTTTAATGCTCAAACTCGGTTGAATACAGATGTTTTGACTAAAATGAAAAAAAAAAAACATATGGAAAAAGGTTAATGTAGTTCCAATCTATAACAAATGGTAACAGGGAAGACCCTCTTAATTACACCAATATTGTTGACAAGTGTAGTAGTCAATAATTTACCTGAATGCTATACTTTCCAACTTTAGAATCACTTTTAAATACATGGATGGCAAAATATTAAAGAAATTGTTCATGACCTTTGTGAGACCAAAGTTGGAATATGCAATGGTTGTTCAAGTTAAAGTATGTTTATTGAGACAAGAAAATACATCTCAAAGGGATAGAATAGCTTAGGCTACTTCTACCCTACACACAGAAATCATAATAGCGTGATGCATCAAATGAACAAATCCACAAGGGTCGTGACGAGGGTTCGAACCTACGTCCGAGAGGATCCCAGATGCTGCCTTAATCAACTGAGCCAAGACATGAAATGTCGTGAGCTTCCATGTTGTAGCTCAGTCGATTAAGGCAGCGTATTCATACCATATACAATAGTCATGTCAAAGTGGATACATAGGTAAAGTATTTGTTTATTATATAAAGCCACTAGTTGTTCATCTGATTGCTTGCAAGTAAAATATTAATGTTATGTTAAGTCCAATATAAGCATTTGACTCTGTTTCAATGTTCTAGATATGGCTATGTGTTGAAGCGTAACGAGAGGGATTCAAGTTGGGATAACATAAATTTTGCAGCCGGAAAAACAAAGATGATTGCCTGGTTTGTTTCAAATTGCAATAATACAAGTGGCAGAGAAAGGTAAAGAGCTGTGTATTCCTAAAGTTAGTATAATTATGCTTCAAGTGTTTATAATACCTTGTGTTTTGCCTGCACCTAGTTTAATTATTTTACACTTTAATTAAACTTGCCTAAATAGTTCTTCAGACTGCTATCCACTCGTGCTTTTTCTAACCTGTTTGAAAATGCAAAACCCTCAAAATTAGTCGAGGTGGCTACTTGCTGTTGTTATAGTGTACTATTTGGGGCACCTTGTTACCTTATCTTTATTAGAAGACATGACACACTAAAAAATTTAAATTGTTGGCCTCGGTCATTGACATTTATTAAGAGCTAGTTTAATACTGTACTGTAATGAGAATACAAACGGAGGAAGACTATAGTGCTGCTGAAGACACTGGCGAGCTGCAGAAGTGGGCAAACAGATGGTTTGCTAGATTTCAACCACAGCAAGTTTAAAGTAATAAAGATGGGAATTGCAGGGGAAATGAGACCAGAAGGAAGTGGTGACTAATGAAATTGCATAACTACAGTGTAGGTGTCTGACTAAAGAAATGCCCTAAGAGTAGACAATGATGCTAAAAGTGCTACTAAATGATGAGATAATTTATAACAAATACTGTACATATTATGACTACAGGATAAATTGTGTATTGTACCAGTATTTATTTTTTATACAGCAACTAATCTTGCACATCATTTTGAACAAACATTATGGTAAAGGTTTTTGTTTTAGATAATACATTTGAGGGTATTATTTAATTACAATATTAGATGTAAGCTAACATATAAATGTAAATAAAACAAATTTGCTAATATTATTCGGTAAATTTTTATAGGGTGATAATGCTAAAGTTTGCAGACCTCTACATCTTTTATTGGTAAATATTCCTATTAATTAATGACCTTTTTTTAAATGGTACATTTACAGTACAGTATATATATGATATTAGAAAGTTACATACAAATGAAACTGCTTTAAAACCTAAATATTAACTCTTTCAAGAAAATGTACATGGCTCGAGTCAGACCAGTCATAGAAAAGGCATCAATTGCATTGAATGTACTTTGAATGACACACAGAGAACATGGGGAAAAAGTAGAGATGGACAGGCTAATGGAACACACAATTTGAGGAGTAAGGAATGAGGAAGTGAGGAACACATAATTTGCGGACCAATGTTAATATGATCACTACAGTACAAAGTATTAAAAGGAGTAAACATGGTGGACAAGGACAACCTTTTAAGATTTAATGTAAATATGACAAAAGACCATGGTGGAAACTAGAAACACAAATGAGCCAGAAAGTAGTGAGGAAACTCGGGCACAATTAGGGTGGTTAGTAAGTGGAATCCACTTGTTAAAGTATTAGTGGAAGCTACCACCATCCACATCTTGCAGAGCAATAACCTGTAATGTAAAGATATAAAATAAGAAACTTACCTGTACCAGGTACAAACAGGTAGGAGACAAAAAAAGCTAAGTCTTGCATCTTGTAGGCACTGATGGGGAGCGGCAGAATGATCTGTGTAGAAAGGGATTTCAAAATATGTCTGATTATTAATATATAAAAAATTATTTGTTTTTATTAACCGAGTTATTTTTTTGCTAGGTTTTACATACTGATTTTCCAGATTGTGTTTATTCAGACATTTAATTTATTGCATCCCAACTTGAGCTAGGTCATAATTATTCCAGCTAGGTTCTGTTTAAATTTTTAATGCATTCCTATATAAGTCTATTGTAGTGTTTCATATATTAGCATTCAGTTTCTTTATCCCTTGACCTCAAATCCCACAGTAAATCAGTATATCCCTTAATCCTTTCATTGTTCCTAGGTGTTTGTTAACAAACAATTTTACTTGCATGCTGCATAACTCCTTTCAGCCAACTTTGTTGTGTGACTCGGTGTAAATTGCTATTCTTTGATCTCATTCAAATTATTTTGTATAACTGAATTCATTTTGTGGGAATTACATATAATCAATACATTTTCTGTTCTTTTAGGCTAGCAAAGACTCTTCAGCAGTACCTGCCTATAGACATCTACGGAAAGTGTGGTACCAAGAAGTGTGGCACTTCCCGTACATGGCATTGTTATGAGATGCTTAATTCGGACTACAAATTCTATCTTAGTTTTGAAAATTCTTTGTGTAAAGACTACATTACTGAAAAACTTTACAATATATTTGAGTAAGTTGATAAAAATTGTACTTAACCTATTTACTGCTAGGTGAACAGACACATCAGGTAAAAGGAAACTTGCCCAAATATTTGTCCTGCCTCAAGAATTCAATCAGACTTGAATTGTGACGTGACTGAACTGTTGATTTACATATAGTAACTAGACAAATGGTGATGATTGCATTTTACTAGTAATCGGCACATGACGATGACTGCACTTTAACCATTGCACTGCGCAACGCGCCTTGAGACTCTCGACGGGTGGTGTGCAAAGCGCCTCGGGGATCTCGTAGGTATAGTGTATGATTCAAAACTCCCATGGGTACATGGGGATCACATCAGCTTCCTCAGGGCTCTCGTAAACAAACACCATTTAAAAAAAAATCATGGGCCACATTCCCGGGTGTGACAGCCTCAGTACTGAGCGAGCAACTAAGGCTGGCACACACATCATCAGCTAACAGCACAGCTGTTCAGCTTGTGACCACAGCATTGCCTAATAATGTCAAAATATATATGTAACTGGTATTATTTAGCCATGATAGTATTACAGAAAAGCCTGAGTGTGATAGACTGTGTACAATGTTCAAATATCAGTGAATCAATGCTGTTAAAGATGTTCACAGTGTTAGCCACAGCACCGCAGCATTATTTCGTCCATCTAGGAATCTTCAAACGACTTCTCATGTTCCTTTATAAAAATAAACTTGTAGTAAATTGTTCATTTACAGGATTTAGTGACCAGGATTCTGATAATAGCAGGATTGTGGTGATAATTAGCGCTGTGCGTAGTATTGTGGGAGGAGGAATGTTGGTGAGGGAGGGAGGGAATTGAGTTAGCATCACTGTGTGTGGCAATCCACTCTTTGTTTGGACTCGCCATACTAGCTTAGTGGTTTGCTATGGTGAACACAAATGTAGGTACTTATATATAACGAGTGTGTGTATATAGTGTAATAACAGCAACAGGAGTATGTTGGGAGGAGCAATTTTGGTGAGGGAGGTGGTGTCGTACTTGTAGCGTCGTCTGCTGTGTGATTTGTCATGCAGTGTATGGTGGCCACTGTACTGTTTGGACACCATAGCAGCTTTGTTGTGTAGTTATGGTGAATAAAACGTGTAGATACTTATAACGTGTGTAAATACTGTAGTGTAATAAAAAATACCAGTATGGTGGGAGGAGGAATATTGGCGAGCAAGGTGATGGAGTGAAGGGCTTGCTGGGTGTTGCAGCTCACTCTTGTTTTTTGGGCTCACCATACCAACTTAGTGGTTCGTTATGGTGAACACATATGTAGATGGGTATATACAATGTGTGTGTATATAGTGTAATAACAGCAAAAACAATTTGATTGTTTGTAGAATATAATATATATGTCACATATATGAACCCCATAAATTTGAGCATAGTGATGTTTCACACTTTGAACTATATAAATTCCACAAATTACATACTTTTGAATAATATTACAGCAAAAAACCAGAGAAGAAACAAATGAGAACATCAAAATAATTGTGAAACATTATACAGTATTTGCGGCAACTGCCGCCCCACGGGGTGGTGGGGCCGACTGACTTCCCAGCTTCATCACGGCTAAAGTATGTCGCATACAATGGCATTTTAACAATATATGAAGAGAAAATAATTTGGAAAGAATTTATTTTCAGAGCATCACGGGTGTGTTGTATTTTAATGCAGTGCAGTGGTTAAGGGTTAAACCAGGCATAGATGACACTTAACCTGGGAATTTTCATCCCTTTGCTCTGACCATTTGTGGCTGCAAATATTCTGAATGTGTAATTAATGTGTAATTGCAGTTCAGTTCCAAGCTACCTTATGCCGTTAAATTTTTGGTCGCTGTACTTTACAATAGACTTCAATTCACTTAAATGTGTATAGAAAAGGATGTTAGAGTTAACCACAGGAATTGTAAACCTTCTTTAAAAGAGGTTAAAAAGATTAAAATCATGAGAGAATCTGTATTTTTATAGTGCCACTATTTATGTGTAGCATTTAGAGTAAATCTTAAAATTTAATGTTTATTGCACCATCTTAGTGGTTGATCCTTTACAAGTTTCCTTGTTTATAATTATTTTAGCCTTAACTGCTTTCCTCATAGTATGTGAATAAATAGCTGCTTTATATATAATTTTAAACATTTTTCTCTATAAAGATTTGTTGTTTTAGTGTTACCGATAAACAAAAAGGGTAGTTACTTTCACATTTTGTTTGCCCTTACTATCACTATCTTGTTGATTTGAATCAGTATTTTCACTAGGTCTTACGTCTAACCACTTCAATCAAATTATGAATTTAAATTATAGTTTTTGAGATGTATAAATTTTAGTGTAAATCCTTAATGTTTATTTAGCCATTTTGTTTTAAATCCCTTGTTTAGTATTAGTGACATATTTTCAGTGGTTGACTCCTGTAATCTAATGTTTGTCAACACTTAAATTTTGTTATCATTCAAATATTAGCATAAATGTGAAAGTAACCATTATTAAATTTCAATTTTGGGTTTTATTAACTTCACAAAATGTCATATCTAAACAATTGTTAATTGTTAAATTGTTCATATCTAGCTTAAATGTGATACCGGTTGTTTATGGAGGAGCTGACTACATGCATCTACTTCCTCCTCACTCGTACATCGATGTTCTGGATTTTCCTGATATGAAGACTTTAGCGCAGCTTCTTATCCATCTTGACAGCAATGATGACGCCTACAATCAATATTTCGTGTATGTTATCGATTAATTTTGTTTTTTTATATATTTAACATTTCTAAACTATAACAATTTATAATAGCTTGCCCATTTTTATTATAAATTATATGACTTCTTATAATGTAATACTAATACTGTATATACAATGGGTTTATGCAGATGGAAACAGTACTATATAGTGGTGAATAGATGGGCAGCAAGGGTGCGAGCATGGTGTAAATTGTGTGAGCGACTCCACAGAGATCACTTGCCTAAGGTGTATCCCGACATGTATGATTGGTTTTATACAAAGGGCCAGTGCAAAATACCTGCTGACTGATATTTACATTTTTAGAGGATTAGGTAAGTTGAGCTTCTATTTTGTTTGGAGCATGCTATATATATTATTGTATTAGCAATTGCTAATTTAAATTTTGACATTCTTTTGCCAAAACGTATCTAAACTGGATTTTTATGCAATGAAAACACTTTTTCACCCGCTTTAGTTTTTTTGCTGAGATTTATAGAGTAGAAATGTAAGTAATGATATAGAAGAAAACTGTAGTTCTAATTTTAATAGCCTATTTTCAAATGTCAAGTATTAAATACAATATTTTACGATCTTCATTAATAATAATTTGTCAAGTCTCTTCAAACATAAATTATATTTTCGGTGATTACCTGACTTGTTGGTTGGTTGCTAGCAGACTGGCTGTTTTGCATGCCAAGCAAGCTTGCTAGCATTGCTAGTTCGCTTATTTACCACTTCTTAAAATATGGCTGCAGAATACTCTCATTGCAGCGGCTTCTCTGGCACTTTCTTTTACTTGTCCAAGAATTGAACGCTTTGCTGTCACTTCCAATCCACAGCATTCCACATTTATGGAATGTACTACCAGCATATGTTTTACCTGACACCCTTGATCCTTTTAAAAGCCAGATGTAGAAAGTTGCTTTACTTTGCATCATTGCCCTGTTTCCCACTGCAAGGAGTGGAGAGGCCTCAGCCCAGAGAAAAAATGAAATGCTATTGTATAGAAAAAGAAAATGTCATATTAAACAAATATCTTGAACATTTATTATATTCACACTATATAGGATGACAAAAAATAAGCACAAACATACTACAGAACTTGTACACTGCAACAACACACTGCTTTATAAGACCAGGTGTGAAGTGTTCCTTGTGAATGTTACCATTACGGTACAAATTACTTCTATACTATTACTCTTTGGAAACTGCTTCCACTCAGCCACGTCCCTTGCCATATCTGATGCATCAGACGCTCAATTCTTGCTTCCCCTCACTCATCAGTGTCTTCCACTCCTCCTCCTTGTTCTCCGATTGACTTTGAATGCACACTTCACTAGTTTACCCTCATCCATTTAGTCCAACTCATCTTTGTATACTTCTCAATTGTTTACCAACTTGCACAACACACTCAATGGAATTTTAACCCCTGAAGTGTAGCTGTGATCAAAGGCACCATCTATGTGCAAAAATGTTTCAAATAATTTATTTTAAAATAATAAATTTGCTTGCAAAAAGTAAGGAAAATGCAAAAAATAAGTTTCTTTGCGTGTGATGCACACCGGGAGATTGGCAAATCAGGGGATTATTTGGTCTATGTGCTGTGGTTGCAAAATATTGTTAACTTGCCAAATTAAGGCTGGAGCTGTGATAATTGTGTTATATAGGTTTAAATGTTTGCAGTTTCACTTAAGTTTATAGTACATAATGTGTGGAATAACTGTTTATTTACACACAATTGATAAAAAACACTGTATGAGTACTGTATATAAGCCTACATTGTAATATGCAAACCTATATTGCATGTAAGTCAATATAGGTTGACTTCACACAGTTCAAAGAAAGGGTCTTTTTACCACTCATTTGCTGCTATTCTGTCTGGTAATGTCATCCAGAAATATTAAAGCACCTCCAGGAAACTCCAAATTGATTCAATGATCCCATTGCTGGGGGTATAAGATAACATAGTAAGTAATTTAATACAGGCATACCTCAGTTTAAGAGTTTAATTGGTTCCTGGAGACGCCTCGTATTCCGAAAACTCGCATTCCGAAGCTAATTTCCCCATAAGAAATAAAGGGAAATGAATTAATCCGTTCCTGACTACCCCAAAAACCCCACATCAAACTAAATTTTTATACCTAATTTACCTAATTCATCTAAATAAACCTACAAAACTATGTTCCAGTTATTACTTACCTTGCTGTCGAGTGCTGTAGGCGTATGGAAGATGGTGAGGAGGGGGGAGGAGGAGAGGAGTTACTGTTTGGAAGGGGAGTCCCCTTCCATAATCACATCAGGCAGTGAGGACCTTTCTGGTGTGCTCTCCCTGGCACGTTTTATCTGAGTGCCACTAGGTCCTGGTTGAGGCTCACTGCTCGATTTCCTCACCACAAATCTGTCCATGGAAGCTTGCTTTTCCCTTCTTCGCAAGCTCTCTCTGTAGTAAGGCATCACATTGTCATTGAAAAGATTAAGACAACGGCCTACTACAGCTTTCTCTGGGTGAGTCTTTTCAACAGTTGTTTGAATCTCTTCCCACATCTGACACACCTTCTTAATTACTGCAGAAGGGACATTCGCTGGTGCTGCTGCCACCTCCTCCTCCACTGCAGAATCATCCGCTGCTGCGTTGGTTTGCTGTTCCTGTTGAAGGGCTAGGAGTTCTTCGGTGGTCAGTTCTTCGTTGTGTTCTTCCACCAACTCCTCCACATCATCACCATCCAATTCCAAGCCCATTTGCTGGCCTAGACTAACAATTTCCTCAACAATAGGCGCATCATTTATAGGCTCAAACCCCTCAAAGTCTAGTTCTCTCACACATTCAGGCCACAATTTTCTCCAGCCAGAGATCAGGGTTCTTTGAGTCACTTCTTGCCAGGCTTTGTCAACGAGTTTTAAAGCACTACAAATGTTAAAATGCTGTCTCCAGAACTCTTTGAGGGCGAGGTTTGTGGCTTCAGTCACTTCAAAACATTTCCGGAAAAGTGCCCTTTCATAAAGTTTCTTAAAATTCGCTATGATTTTCTGGTCCATAGGCTGAATTAGAGGAGTGGTGTTAGGAGGAAGGAATTTAACTGTGAGATATTTATTGTATCTAGGCAACAAATCATCTTCCAAGCCTGGAGGATGAGCAGGAGCATTGTCAAGGAGAAGCATGGCTTTGAGTGGCAAATGTTTCTCCTGCAGATATTTTTCTATGGCAGGGCACAGCACTTCATTCACCCACTCCGAAAAAATAAGCCTAGTCACCCATGCTTTTTTATTAGACTTCCACATCACACACAAATGGGTTTTCTGCACATTATACTGTTTGAAAACCCTTGGATTTTCAGAATGATACACTAGCAAGGGTTTAATTTTCAAATCGCCACTCGCATTTGAACACAGCACAAGCGTAAACCTATCTTTCATAGGCTTGTGTCCAGGCAAGGATTTTTCCTCCTTGGTAATGTATGTCCTCTTAGGCATTCTTTTCCAAAACAGTCCTGTTTCGTCACAATTAAACACTTGTTGCGGTAGGTATCCCTCAGCCTCTGCAAACTCTTTAAATTCGTCAATAAATCGTCCAGCGGCTGCTTTGTCTGAGCTGGCTGCCTCCCCATGCCTTGTAACACTATGGATACCACTTCTCTTTCTAAATTTTTCAAACCAGCCCCTGCTTGCCTTAAACTCTTTCGTATCTGCATCACTCGCTGCAGGGGTATTCTTTAGAAGGTCTTCGTGCAACACCCTGGCTTTCTCACAAATAATGGCCTCCGAAACACTATCACCCCTCAACTCCTTGTCGTGTATCCAAATTAATAACAACTTTTCCACTTCTTCAAGTATTTGTGGTCTTTGTTTCGTCATTGTTCTTAATCCTTTTGCCACTTTAGCACCCATAATCTCATTTTTCTTCTTAAGTATAGTGCATATTGTTGATGTGGCTTTGTTGTACTGCCTACAAAGTTCAACAACACGTGTACCGTTCTCATGCTTCCGAATGATCTCGTTTCTCCTCTATTGTCATCCTCACATGAGCTTTCTGGCCTTTATCCTTACCACTGGCTTTCTTGGGACCCATGGTGAGATATATAATAACAAATTGTATAGACAAATCACCAAAAATCCAACAAAACACTGAAAATCTGCGAGAAGAATTGATGTGGGGGTAGTTACTGAGCGCGAGACAATGGTAAACTGAGGGGCGGCGGGGCAGAGGGGCGACGATCGCCGAACCACCACGCGCTAGGTCGGCCTGTACGCGTATCAACAAACTCGCGTCCCGAGGTAACCCTCGCCTTCCGAGACATATTTTTGGAGTAAATACTGCTCGTCTTCCGAAAAACTCGCATACAGGGACACTCGCATTCCGAGGTACCACTGTAAAACAATAGCACATATTTTAGGGTTTAGGTTAGCTAAATTACATCCATAGAGATGTATTATAGCCATATTTACATCATTTATTTAAAGAACTGCACTACTCTGAGGATAAATATGATAACTACACTTTAACCCCTTAACTGCGTTGCCTCCAAATGTGACACCCCCGCAGTGCGCAGGAAATAAATTCTCTTGAAAAAATTATTTTTTCTTTTTAAAGTGTCAAAAACCCTTCCCTGAGTATGGGTATGTAAAAAAAAATTCGAAATTGTACTTACTTTGGGTGCTATGGGGTCCGGAAGTTGGGGCGTGACGTCATCATTCCCCGTGCGCCCGTGGTGTAAGCTCTCAGAGGCGGTGGGGCGCTCGGGGCGGGGCGCGCGAGTTGCCGCGAATATATTTTTGTTCATTTATTGCGCACATTTCCCAATACATTTTCATTGTTTTTATGTGCCAATCCAATGTATAATGAACACGTACACTGTAATATCGCAGTACAACATCCGTACTGTCCGTAGACACTGTGTTACGTGCATCACAAACAACTTCACTTATCCTACACAATTTCCAATGTATCATGCCAAATAAATTTATATTTACACTTTATATACACACTGTACAGTATCACACACTATATACACACACCATAAACACACTCAGTACTCCGCGAGTGTGTGATATGCTGCGAAACAGCCAACGGGGCAGAGTGGCACCTTGCACTCCACGCACCAGGTGCTGATACATCTTCGTTTCTGTTCTCTGCGGGTAGTGTTCCTGCATACTATACACGCACGTTTACCCTTCTCCCGTGATGCTGTGCCTGGCATATACTCGAGCATATGTACTCCGAAGTTCTCATTACCCCTCAATCTGTCTGGAGCTGCATGTGGCATTGTTGCTTGCACTCCGCGCGGTACAACAGAACCCTCCTTGCCATACTTTACTAGCAGCTGTGACACAACACCAGCACTGAATGTACGTATAGACGGTCTCCTGCCAGATTTTACTAAGTACATATTGAAGCAGTTGAGCACTGCAACATCCATCAGGTGGAAGAAGAACTTTTTAGTCCACTTCACAGACTTGCGCACGCACTCTACTCCACCAAGCATCATGTCACACTTATCGACGAGGCGCATGTTCACGTTATAGTCTATGACACAGTCTGGCTTATACACGGTGTTGCGTGTCTGAAAGTGGACTTTCCCACTGTCCAACATGGCACCGGTGTGAATCGTACTCAGCATATTCACCTCGCGTCTGTCCTTCCACCGCACTGACAGCGTATTGTCACACTTGCGCAGCTGGCACTCGCCCACGGCTATAGCTATACCGAACACTGGCATTTCCTTCCTATGGCTCTTCACAGTGCCACATACGCCGGTGTTGTGGGCAAGGAGGTATCTGGTCAATAAGGGGCTGGTGTAATAGTTGTCGGTGTACAGTACATGCCCCTTGTTCAGCAACGGTTCCATCAGGGTCTTTACAACACTGCCAGAGAACCCGTGTTCATCTTGAGCCGGTATGTCGACGTCTGTACCAGAATATAATATCATGTCCAAGACAATACCAGTCTCACAGTCGCATAGCACAAAAAACTTCAGTCCAAATCGGTGCCGCTTTGATGGAATGTACTGTTTGAATGCCAGTCGCCCCTTGAACAGTACAAGCGACTCGTCAATAACCACATTCTGTCCAGGTACAAAATAATCCCTGAACTTCCCTCTCATGTCACTGAACATCTTCCGTACTTTCCACAGTCTGTCGTGTCTGTCCTCATTTGCATTATTCTCGAAATGCAGGCACCTGAGAATCAAGAGATACCTATCACGCGACATGTACCGGTTGAACACAGGCGATGGAACAAGGCTGTCTTTGCTCCAATATTCCTGGATGACAGCTTTCTCAGAGTGCTTCATCATCATGGTGAGTGCCAGAAACACGTACATTTCGTCAATTGTCGTGTCCTTCCATCGTGTGAGCCGTGAGGCAGGTAAAATGCCTTCGTCTATGAGGCTGTGAGCGAACCTGTTTGTCTCAGTCACAAGATGCGCCATGAATACATTGTCATAATATGCCTGAAAATATTCCATGTGTGCCATATCATCACCAGTATATGGGAATAATGGTGTAACACCAAAATCGCTATCATCAAATGTTGGTATTTGAGGGGCAAATGTGGTGCAATCCTCCCACACAAGTACACCAGGGGGTTTGGTGTTGGCGCCAACACCACGGCCAACACCACCACGAGCACCAAAACTACGGCTACGTCGTCCGCTGCTTCTGCTGGAGCTGCGTGAGGGTATGCTAGGCGCTGAGGCAGATTTACGTACTGTACACCTACCACGAATAAATGATGTTGAGGGGCCACTGTCGTTGTCCACATGCTGTGAGGCACGCTGCCGCCTGCCGCGGCGTGTTGCTGAGGTAGCAAAACCCCGCCTGGTAACACCACCACTGCTCGTACTCGGGTCGTCCACACTACTCGTATCGGAGCCAATGTCACTGAAGCCCGAGAAAGATTCGTCACATGTACTATCACTGAATAAACTACTAGCGTCTGGGGACATACATGATGGTGGTGATGATAACGGTGTTGACCCAGGGCGGCGAGGCAGGCCGGGCGAGGCACGAGTACCCCACACACTCGCCACATCTTCCAATTCTGTCTCTTCCTCACTCGTATCAGATCTCTGAGTTAGGTCTTTATCTGGATCATAGTCCAGGTCATCATCCAGAGCACCGTCATCATACAAAATATCGCGTATTTCCTCCTCAGAGAGTCGTTTTCCATGACCGCGGGTCACCGTGGAGCGGGAGCTCGTAGAGGATGCGTCAGACATGGTTGCTGCCGTGAAACTGAGGCTCCCCACGGCCGCAGGGCATGCTGGGATTTTTTTTTAAGATGGCGGACGATCACTGGGGCCCCCACCCACCCATACCATACCCGCGTCACCGCGCGCCAGTTTTGAATGGAACGTGAAAAATCAAAATACCTGGAGGCGCGTTGCGCAAACCAGACGCGAGCCTGCAGGCGCGTTGCGCAGTTTAAGGGTTAAGGGTTAATGTTTTTTTTTACTGTTCTTTAAAAATGTCACACATGCTTCTCAGATAGTTCATTTCTACTGCTCTAAATCTTAGCTTTTCACATTGATACACCATTTCACATTTAAATATCACTCCTTTATGTAGCCCTATGGCTCCATCTCCTCTTGTATTTTGCTGCACTCATTCATTACACTAACCATTTTTTTCCCCTGGCTCACCCTACTCTCAACTTATATTTCACAAATTTATCTTCCATCAGTCACACATGCCAGGTATTTATATTGTTTAGTTATGTATAGCACCTTTCTACATTTAGTTTATATATTCTTTTTCTCTTCATCACCATAACTGTTTTTGTTCAAATTGTCTAAGTTTACATAAATCTTTCTCTATGCTAAAATAAGAGACACCTGCATACATAAAATTTTACCTCTTGGTCGTATCAATGTACTATACATATTGAACAGGTGAAGTGACATCACACAACTCTAGCATACAATTACGTTAGTATTAAATTTGTCACTGATTATACCCCATTAATTCTTGTACTGTATATGCACTATAGTATTTCCAACATAAATCTTTTCACTGCATTTATACACATACTTTGGCCAACTCTATGCATATGCATATCAAGACTCTTCATTAACCCCAACACTACTGTCTTGTGTGTATGCCTAGGGAGCTGCTCCGTAGGTCATGGTTTGCTTTACCCCCAAATTGCTTGATATCAACTGGGGTCAGATAGCTCTGGTCTCCTTGAGAGAAAAAAAAAATCTTGTTACCCAGTATCCTGATATCACTGATTACAATATAATAACCAAGACCTACTCTCGCCCAGTGACACTACCAAAATACCGACTACTAATTTAATTAAAACAAGGAGATATTTGTGTGATCAGCTGGAGATTTTAAAATTAATATAACAGATTAGGAAATAAGCAATGATGAAAGTGTTGCTGTTTATTTGGTGACTGGTTCTTAGGGGTTCCCACCATTACCTTGTACTGTATTCCTGTTGCTGTATGAGAACACAACAGCAAAAGTGAAAACTTGGTTGAACATTTAAATTATTATATGTAAATTTATAGATACTAGAATTGTGCCCTTGCACAAAGGTTGGAGAGGGAAGAGAGAGCTGTGGCTAACTTAACAGCAGTGTGCGAGTTACCTTTGTCATATCCTTGTTCACATTTGTGTACCCTTTGCAGTCTTGATAAAATGCCTTCTCTGTAGACTAACATAATGCAAGTATCAGATGAAGAAACCCTCTTCCACTGTAGAACTAACCTTGATCACTGACCAATTTCTCTGTATTCTTCCAATCACTATTCTGGTATCACTATCACTGGCTCACTACATATATAAAAATGATAAAGGCACTAGCTTACTTAGTCTTTATATATATAAAATCGTGCAATCAATTTGTTTTTTAAATGCTCTAGCATACTATAGTACCACTATGGTGTTTCATAGCTTCTGGCAAAATCTCCATACTCTCTACATTTTAGTATTTTTGTATATACAATACTTCATCTTTATCTGCAGCTTCCCTCATTTTTATCTTGTACAGATTTTTTCTTTTCCAAAGCTTTTGCACTTAACAGGAAATTTTTGCCACTGCATAGATGTACAGTATTACAAAAAAGGGACTGGGGAGAAAGTGAGATACCGCCCATCAAGCAGTGACTGACTTTGTCCATCAAAAAAATCAGAAACCGTCTAACATAATTTCCCTGTTCTGACAGGTTAACACTTTTGTGTTCCTGGGGTCTACCAGTCTGCCACCCCAAGGTAAACCCGGCATGATTAGATTCACACATCTCGCCTTTATATACAAAAAGTAAAATATTATTGTAATGCTGTTTATTATTGTTTTGTTATTTTCTAATGTGAATGGTCATATAATTTATTTTTCTATCATGCTAAGAAAGAAAAGAATAATTTTGGTTTATTTTCGTATTAAATATCTTGCTTAGCGACAAACTGTCGTATCTCACAATGTTAATGAACCTTCTTAGTTCTTAAGTTTCATCCATTATTTTGTGTACAGATTATTCCTATATTTTTCTATAAGGGTAAAAAAAAAAAAAAAAGCGTTGAATGTAATGAAACGCCATTTTCTGGGGGAGCCCCTACGGCTCCCCAGAGCTATCCAGGCTGATAGGGATAGTGCTAACTTTTGGCATCAGTCAATGTGGGTGGAGTTCTAGGCTTACCTGGGACCACGGCCAGAACCTGGCCCCCTTAGAGAGGCACGAGGAGCCCATAGAAATGCACATGTGATTTTGGAGCATTCCATATCTGCCATCGACTGGGACAGGCACCCAAAAAGGTAAGCGCCTCAAAACAAACCCCTATTCTGATAAAACCAATGAAAATAACGAAACAAAAGGACAGAACTCCCCCAAGGGAAAACAAGCATGACGTCACAAGAGCAATGCCGCATGTCTGTGCAGCTGCCCCCTCCCCGGGAGGGGGAGGGAGAAGCCCCAAACCCTCGCGCTTGCAATCCACACCTCCAGTTCCGAGGCTGGATATCAAAATATGCGAAAACCACCAACTGGAGGGAGGGAGGGTTGCCGGGGGAGCCTCCGGGACTTGCCCAGAAAATGGCGTTTCATTACATTCAACATTTAACACTGGTTTTCTGGGGGGAGACCCTATGGTTCCCTGGAGCTACTTCACCAAAGACTGGAAAAAGGGGACTTACCCGGGAGGCGGTCGGTGCTCCACACCTCAACTCGAAGTTAAGACAGGCTGCAGCCACCGACCCAAAGCGACACTGGCCCGACTAGGCCCAGGAACGTTCACAAGGTAGCGTGCAGCCAGGACCCTTTTCGACTGCCAAAAGCTTGAATGTCATCCCAGGACATGTTCTCAAAAACGGCAGCAAGAACAGCGAATTTACGAACGTCATGGGCACGAGGATAGACCGCAGGCTGGCTAGACTTAATAACCCTGCGGACGACCTGAGTGACCTGTACCCCGTGAACAGGGAAGAAGGGAAACTGGATCAACCCAAAGCGCATCCCCGGACACACAAGCCATGGCGCGCAAATAATAATAATAATAATATTATTATTAATAATTTATTTGCAAAAAGATACAATGGGTCGTTGAGATTACATAAATAACGGTGGAGGGCCACAACCGGACACAAAACATGATGCACCCCCAGCCTAACCAACCAAGCATCAACAACCCAAGGACCCCTCCGGAAAGAAACAGTCTCATTCTTCGCCAGAAAAGGAGGAGACGGCTGCAGAAGAACAAACCGATCTCCATGACCGAAAGAGCAGAAACCCCTGCACTGGAGGAGAGCATGAAACTCCCTGACCTGACCCCCCAGAGGCCAATGCCAACAGGAAAAGAGTCTTCGAAAAACAATCCTGAACTGAAGGGCCCACAACAAACCGAGGAGAAGAGAGATAGGAGAACACTCTGTTCAAAGACCAGGACGGATCAGGCGGTACATGAGCAAGCCGGAGGTGAAACAAGAACTGAAAGCAAAGTATAACAATGAAGAGTCAAAAAGAAATGGAAGGACATCCAGGAAACTTCATACTGCCACGGAGGCGAAGCCCGCAGGTAGGACACCATCAATGAAGCCACCTGATCACCATACAACTGGTGATAAACTAAGAGTCAAAAATACCAAACACGAAGACTCGAGGAGAATAGCGAAACGGTCTCGTAACGGACTGGGCCAATCTTCTGAAAGAGGCAGAGCCGCAGAAAATCCTCTGGGTTCGGATACCGGGCAAACAGCGCCTGAAACCATGGCTGGTTGCAGCCACCATGGGGCCAAGAGGACAACTTGCCCCTGGTAAGTCTCCAAGCGAGCCAGGACCTGGAGCAACAGTTGAACCGGAGGAAAGAGGTACAGGAACCTCCAGCTCAACCAGTCCTGCCGTAATGCGTCAATCCCGACAGCCTAGCGGTCGGGGAAGGGTGCCACATATACCGGAAGACGCCTCGACCACACCGACGCAAAGAGGTCCACCTCTGGGCGCCCGAACATCTTGCAGAGTCAACTGAATGAGTCGGCTTCAACCACCCATTCCATGGACAGGGGAATGAACTGGGACAGGCCATTCGCCAGGACGTTGGACATCCCCCGGACGTGAATACCAGGAGAGCCAAACCCTGAGAACTCGGCAGACGAGTCAACCGAAGCGACCAACCCCCAAAGAGCCAAGGACTGCATCGATACCCCTCAGTTCAAGAAATGAACCACTGGGGAGCAGTCCGAATGGAGCCCGATTGTCAATCCCCGGGCGACCCAAACCCTCCGAAGCGCAAACCACACCACCGCGATCTCCCGCACCGTACTGTGGGCCTGACGGAAGGACTGACCCCACCGCCCCTGGCTGGCCTGGTGAGCACTGGTCACAAAGCCCCAGCCGAGAGACGACGCGTCCATGAGCACATCGAGTGAGGGCTAGGGTAGGCGCCAAGGCACTGAACCCTGAATAACCCGAACAGGAAGCTGGCGACGCAGCTTCTATCTGCTAGGAAGCGAGCACTATCTGCTGACTCGCGAGGAGCGCAGTGAAAAACTGCAACAGCACATCCCGCAGGATTGGTGCAAACAGCTTCAAAGGGGCAAATGACTCACAAGCAGCCGAGGCCAAGGCACTAGACCCAGGAATGGCCCCAAGTGCCTCCACATCCTCTGTAAACCAATCTGAAGACAGCTAAAGGAAGGAAAAGAAGCGCAGAACCAAAGCCAACGAGCACCGTGCGAGCAAGTCTTTAGCCACAATCGCTGCCGACAAGGAGGGAACCTGCACGTGAAGGTGAACCACGCCAACATTCTGCAGAAGAGCCGGAGCGAAAAGGCACTCATTAAGGTGCGCAAAGTTGCCTCCTAGGTAAACCTGGACCACAGTCAATATCTCGTGTCACTCCAGCGTGCGGGTACTACAGAAGGTGTCCCAAGCATCCAGCGAAAACAAAAGGCAGTCTGCTAGCCAGGATGACTCCGGAACCTCATAACGAACCCAGTATGGAGACAGACTCAAACCTGAATGAAGACAGATTCATTATAGAGGCATAATCTGGGTCGCACAGGAGGTAAGCCGCAATGGCCACTCGTACCTCATGCGGAAAGATGCGGGAAGCCGAAAACCTCCGGAAGGATGGAACCGAAGGACCTGCAGGCTCCTTCCCGAACCGAACCCGGGGAGGAGCCGAAACCAAATCCAAGCCGTACGCAGAGGGGGAAAAGAAAACCCCACTTGTAACATCAAGCCCCGCTTGGAGGGTCGGAAAACCCAGGCAGGGTCCAACGGGGCCCTAGGCCAAGTTGTCCTCCAAAGCTCCGGTCTCAAGAAAAAGCCAGAGTAGTCAGAATGGCAGGAAGATGATGGGCCCACTGGTCAGACTCCGGAGCTACAGCAGGAGGAACCGACTCGAATGCCTCCGCAGCCACCCTGGAAAGGGCAACCCCTGAAACCGCCCGAGTCTCAGAAATCTCTAAACCCTGCCTCAACCCCAAAGCCCTTAGATACTTATGGGCTGGAAGTAGGGGGGGGGGAGGGAACCGAATGAACCACAGCAGGGGTAAGAACGAGGGGGTGCGGACGGAACCAAGGCCAAAGCGACCAACAACCCCCCAAGTCTGGGTCCCTATAAACAAAACGGGGCAGCCTCGGGACATCCGGGGAAGCAACCAACCTAATGAGCTGCAGCAACCTAAACATATTCTGCAACGCGCGAGCTGCCTGCACCCGAATAATATCATCATCAGATTGGGTGAACCGAGTCACATACAAGCAACAAAGCTTGCAGGACTTTGGGTCGAATGTGTTACCGACCCAACAGGCAGCATGACAGAGCCAAAAACAATGAGCATTGTCCTTAGACAAGGAGACAGAGCAACCCTCAAACTCGCAAAAAGCGAGAGGAGACTCAGGGGTCACATCCATTGGACCCGAGCACCCTGCGGGGTTTTCTAGGGCCCCTAGACTGGGTCTAAGGGTTATCCCAGACAGGGTACTGCTAACCGGCGCCGAAGCTACCAACCAACACTGTTAAAGCTGAACCCACGGGACGTATCCACTCTCGAGGGTGAAGCAGGGGGTACCACCAAACACGGACAACCCTAATATAAAGGGGATGGGACACCAAGGCAGACCCCCCTGCCAGGCAAAAACAAAAAAAAAAGAAAAACCTCGCAAGAGGACAGCATACCCAGATGGAACAGACCCGGCCGCTGGTTATAGGTGAAAACTAGCTGCGCAGTACCCCATGCCCCTACCAGTGCAAAAGCTACCACTTACCCTAAGGCAAACATGGGAGGAATCTCCTCAACACTTGGGGCGGTCAATCACCAAGCAATGAAAGACCAACAGAGGTAGACCCAAGGTGACTTGTGGAAGGTAACCCCAAGCCCCTAGGGCGGTACTTACAGGGTACTTAGGGAAGTTAGCCCTAAGTGCATGCAGCCTGAATACCCTGGAATATATCTCCCAGCTTGCACACTACCGAAGAGAAGTACTGAACCCAGGCACAGCACAAAGAGAATCTGGAGCCACAACGACTTAGCCTTATCCCATCAACCGAGGAACTGAATGTGTTTATTGCCGGGGCTGGGGCTCCCCTTCCCTGTCCCGGGGAGGGGGGAGCTGCGCAGACATGCGGCACGGCTTGTGTGACGTCATGCTTGTTTGCTCGTTTTTCCTTGGGGGAGTTGTCTATTTGTTTTGTTATTTTCGTTGGTCTTACCAGAATAGGGGTTTTGAGGTGCTTACCTTTCTGGGTGCCTGTCCCAGTCGATGGCAGATATAGAATGTTCCAAAATCACATCTGCATTTCTATGGGCCATTGCTCCTCGTGCCTCTCTGAGGGGGGGGGGGGCTGCTTCTGGTTCGTGGTCCCCGGTAGGCCTAGAACTCTACCCACATCGACTGATGCCAAAAGTTAGAACTATCCCTATCAGCCTGGATAGCTCTGGGGAGCCGTAGGGGCTCCCCCAGAAAACATTGATTTCTATAACAATATTGTAGTGAAATATAATACTGTATTGTACAGTATTCTGTGCCATAGATGGTGCTTGTTATGTCTTTTTGATAACTACTAGTACTTACTTAATTTAAACTGGCAGAGATGATTGAGGTGGAAGGTTTGGAATTTGGTGTGGCAAAGTCTACATCAGAATTACGTTATGTTTGGTGTTCGTTCTATTTGGTATCCATGTTAGATTACCATAAAAAGTACTCATTACTTTCACTTTTGCCATCATAAAAATCACATGGTGCACTCTAATATTATGCCCACTCATGCCCAAAAGATATGTAGTATGTCATTTGAAGCATTGGATGTATTGTACATACTGTATTGGTAAACATATTACATCAATGGATTCAAAAATTTAATATAATTTGCATAACTGGAATGCATGAACAAGTATTTTGTAAGTTTCTTCGAGTCTTTATAATTTTCGTCAAGAACCCGAGTACAGTACATACTTAAACTGACGGTGCAGCCGACTGACTCGCTCCCCACTTCTCTCCCCTCCCCCACTTCTCTACTCTAAAAACCTCAAAGAATTCCAGCACTTGTGCTGTTCAGTAAATTTTTATGTTAATGCAATTCAGCCCTAAAATTAATTGAATGTGATGTTTCTCTAATTTCAAGGTTTACTGTATTAACATTTTATTATAAAAACACTTTTATTTACAGAAATTTTACTTTCATTAATGTTTTATGGTTGAAACTTTTATGAAAATAAATATTAATACACAGTATTTAAATGTGTTAATTACCAAGTTTGAAGAATATAATTTTCTTTGCATTGATGACCTCCCCAAGAGTTTTACCATGTCATGGTGAGGGGGCTCACGAATGACTCCCTGGAGGATGTCTTGACCCCACTTTTCCTGCCTCTATCCAGGCACTTGCATATTTTTTATCTTAATTATTTCATGTGCTGCGAGATGGTTGAAAATAATGTTTCCAGAATATTCTTCAAGGAAATGGTAGTGGTAAGTGGTTATCTCCATTTATTCTTAAAAAACGTATATTTGTAAGACAACTTACACTAACAAAATATATTAACAATTGTAAATACATACATTGTACATATTATATCTTTCTAATTTGATACACAATAATAAATTTAACTCTCATGAAGACTAAACCGACACCAGAAGACGAGATGACAACATTTCGGTCTGTCCTGGACCATTGTCAAGTCGATTGACCATTATCACAATTGACTTGATAATGGTCCAGGACAGACTAAAACATTGTCGCCGCCTTATCTTACGTTGTGTGGTATAGTCTTCATATCTTCAGCCACGTTATTGTGACTTATCGTCTGCTTAACTGTCATGAACATAACAGCAATTTCTCCAAAAGATATATACATTTCACCGAATATTTAAGAGCCAATCCAAACACCATTCAGGAAAATATTCGCTACTTGAGCTCAGTTAAAATGAATGTATGGTGAAGATGAATATATGGTGAGAATAGCAAGATGGTGCATATTAGCAGCATGTGAGAAAAACACTGGGTGTGAAGTACTGTCATGAAATTTGATTAGTGAAGAGGACATGGTGGAGGACAACTTGCTTACAAAATAAGTCTATATAATCCCTGACTTTCCAGCATTACAAACAATATTTTATAATTAAATATTGATAAGGCATTTACTTAAATTTTACATTACATTTTTTTCCATAATTGTAGTAAGTGGTATTGATTTATCACTTGCACAGGCACTAACATGAAGCTTAAAAGATGAGTCTCGGTAAATATCCGGAGCATCTTTAAAGGCACATGCTTGTTTATACACACAATGTTCAGTAAAGTACAGCTGTTGTTACAGGCCTTGAATAAGTAAATAAGTGTAGCAAGGCTTTATGTGCAATGTGATAAAAAGTACACCCTTTCATGGTAGAAGGAAGCCTAATTATACTGTAATCCTGTTCCCTCCCAAAATGTGCAGAACCCTGATCTGACCCAACCAACCTTTTTAAATCGACATTCTTGCCACCACAGTGCTGCAGGGGCCGTGTGCACTTCTTATTGGGCCCAGATCTGGCATAGCTTGCTTATTTAAATTCATTATCTAAAGTTTATTATTATACAGTTCGGAAAATAAAGGGTAGCACTTGAATTTCCCTTCTGATAACAGTGGCTCTAATGCTGCTACTTATAGTTGGGGTGATTCTGGCAGTGATAAGTACATGATCAAAAAGATGTTCTTATCTGGGTACTGTATTACAATGTACTGTACCGTAATGAAAGACGTCCAAACAAAATTTGGTGCAGATATCAATTGGAGGACAATATTTCAGTAATTGTGTAGTGAAGAACTGGAGGAGTTGCTTCATCAAATGATAGGCCCACTTTATCACTGTATATTGCCATTGCTAAATAGTGAGTGCATTATGATGGATTGTTGTAGATGATTAAGGGATTTGACATTATTAATGATATTTTTTCTGAATAATGAATATGGTGTTATTGATTGTAATAATAAAGATGAACCACAGTAGTAAGAGAGAGTTGACATTAATGATGCCGATTTCTTGTGATTTACAAAGTTAATATGAGGAATAATTATTGTTGATGCGTTTCTGATCATTGGCAGTGATGTATGTAATGTTTTAGGGAGACTTAGGTTGCCTAGAACCTCAGTCATACAGAACTAAACCACACACCAGAAGATGAGGAGATTACAATGTTTCGGTCCGTCCTGGACCATTATCAAGTCGACTTGGTAATGGTCCAGGATGGACCGAAACATCGTCTGTTCATCTTCTGGTGTGGGGTTTAGTTTTCATAACTTCAAGCCACATTATTGTGACTCATCATCTGCACATGTATTCCTCAGTCATAGAGCTCATGGTGATGCTTGGTATTCTTCCTGCGCGAGTGTTGTCTGGAGAGTGGTGGGTGTGTGTTATTGGTAAGCTCACACAGAGGAATTATTTCCCTTTGAGGCACAACCCACTCTTCGCTCATTTGCCTCCTGAGGGTCAGGGAAACAACTTTACATCATTATGAAATATAAAGTGGGAATATACAGAACACTATAGTTTTACCAATAATTCAATAACATTTGTAGAGTGAATTTAGGGTAATACCAAAGTATTTTGTTTAATCTTGTCAATACATCCCTTAGTATAACAGACATTCATAAAGAAAATATGTGTTATTAGTTTTTACCAGCAAGTAAACCCTTAACCTAATAAGCACTTCACAAATACTTTAATCATTTTAGGATGCAACATGAGGGGGGAAAGATACATAGAAGCAATAAGTCATGTACTGTACTGTTTGTTTCTATAAGGTCCATCTAACTCTGTTTAGGAGAAATTCTGCCTGGGCATGCCATGGAAGGAATCAAGTGCATAATTAAACACTGAAGCGTACACAAAATGTATCTAGTGACATGGAAGCCATACAAAACTGGACACATTAGCAACATACTGAGAGAGCATGGTTGCACTAACTGACCAGAAACATGAACCACATACTTGGACAAAGCATGACCAACAGTGCCATGGAGCGACTGTGACCTCCTGTAGTGGTGGCTGCGGGTGAAAGCCAGGTGGTTGACATGAGGGGTAGCCAGATGCAGTGCACTGAGGGAAGGTAGAGCTCCATGACTGTGATCAAAGTCGCCTAAGGTGAGCACAGGCATCCGAGTTACGGTTTCTAGGGGCTTCAACACCATGGTCCTGTCATCGACCGCTTTACAAGGGGTAGATAATGAAGGGTGGGGGAGGGAACAATATCATGGTTTAGATGAGATAAATGGTTTGATGAGGCTGAGAAGATATTAAATATGACAAGTGTAGTGGGCTTCATGGATTATGACTGCAAGTGCTGTACATAGAATAAATGGCAAAATATTAGAATGGATAAATCAATGATTAAAAAGAGAGCAAAGGGTTGAAAGCAACTGGAAAATGGTTAGGAGTAGAGTCCTGCAAGGTTGCATCTTGGAGCCAACCCTTCTAATATACGCAAATAAAATGGTTGAGAAAAGTCACAAACATCGAATTCACAGATGACGCAAAGATCCATGGTAAAGTGAGAAACGAATGATAGAGGCTTCACAAAGTATCTACAAGAACTCCACAAAGTCATAAGGCTGGTAAATGCTTTTCAAGAATTTAATGAAAGCCCTTGCATGTAGGGCATGACAATATACACAATTACCATAACATGATCATGCAGTCGAGTGATTAAGATAAAACCCAAAAATTATGATTTATCAGTCATTAAAAACTGCTTAGCAAGTTGGTGCTCGTTACAAAAAAAATTACAAAAAAGACAACCAAACCCTAGAAATAAGCATATACTTTTGACTTCTACTGGGTGGGAAGGAGGGGAAAAGAGAATGAAAGAAAGTAAGTGAATATTCAGCTGTAAAAATCTTGGGTTTGCCCTCCCCAACCTCTTTCCCTCCCTTCCATCATATCAATGCATGGAGACCACACCTTCAGAATAATATACCTGCTTTGTAAGTTCAATGCAGTGACAAATCACCCCAGAACCAAATCAACTCTCAATGCAAGAAAGGTTGAGGGTCTTGAAACATTACAAACCACAAACCACAAGACTGATCTTGCCAAGACTTAAAGTACTGAATAAATTGTTAGATATTAATCCAGGCAACTTCATTAAAATGTTCAATGTAACTCGAAGGGTAACAAATTTAAACGCAATTCCAGTGTCGGATAGATAACAGATGTTTTTTCATTCACAGGGTAATAAACCCACTATAGCTGTAACTGTCAATACAATACCATGTTTCAAAATTAAAAATTTAGCTGAGAAAAATTCTCAGGAATGTGGGAGGGAATGGGACCTTTAACACGTCACTGGATTTCCTGTTGAGGCCACTAGAGGTGGTGGTCCTTGTGTAAATTCAGGTCAAGTCATATAAATGGCAATACAAGTTCAAATGTTTACTATTTAGTTATATTAGTTTACCCCCACTTGATATGAAGATTTGTGTGGCAGATAAAAGTTTTGCATAGGCTTAAACACTTATTGCTAAGTCAAATTAAAAACCAAATTCATAGATGGTTATGTATTTATAAATGACTTGGCTGAAAACATTTCATGCTCAAAGGAACAACTTTTGACATGTCTGCAAAATGTTCCCTCATATTGTGCTTACATTATCCACAACTGTAAATGTTTTAAAGCCTTAACATCTAGTAGAGATTAGAACCCCCACTCCCTCTTTCATTACTGTTCTGAAATGACTCCCTTCAATATTTCTATTGTCATTCAAGTACTATTGCTCTATTCAGGGAGGTGTCAAAATAATATCTGTTGATTTAGTTGGCTTTTTATATTTTTTTTGCCTGAAAATATTCATGCAGAGATGAAGTATTTCTACTGCAATACAGAACTTAAAGAAATTTTATATGCTGATAGTTACATTTCACTCGTCAATGATTGTTAATCCAGTACTGGCTACAATATGCATGACAGTTGAACTTTGCTGGGACCACAGCCATATTAATATTGCCTCGTAACCCTTGGGCCGCTCAGCCTTAGGGGGGTCAAGAAGCGAAAAATATTCAAATTATGTAAAAATTACTTATAATTGTTAAACAAATCTCTAACTTATTGGCTTCAGCACTGAAAGTTTCATCAAAATATTTTTGGAAATTGATTTTAGACAAATTTTTTTAAAAGAAGAACATTTTGTTGATAAGAACAGCTTCTATTAACAAACTGAGGAATAATGCAGTAATAAGGAGATGCAAGCACCTGTCCAACACCCAAAGAAGAAGAATAGTAGTAAGAAGTATTCACAAAGTGGATATGCAGTTGGTGCCTTTAATAGCATTGCTGAGTGATACATATAACACAAATAGTAATGAGTATGTTATTATGCTCTATTTTGTTATAGATCATATAAATACATTGCCCAATGTATTATCTGATATATTTACTTATCTGTTACTTTCACCAATTCCCTCAAAAAAAATTTAGGTGGATTTTTTCCTTCTTTGTTTATTATCTAATTTTGTTGTAACTTTTGCATCCTGGAGAGTGCATACCTGTCTAACTATGTGAAGATAAAATGAAATTGGTCAACAAATAAATCAGTCACAACTGGCAGAACTTGAAACTTTGAATTTTTTTGGCTGATTTTTTAACAGATTTCAAACTTTGTCTCTCTAGGTTGTTTTGATGATTAGTGACCAGATTATACAAGTGGAAAAAAAGCCCTAAATTATATTCTAAATATATCCCCTAAAATATTATATTTATTATAATTACCCCTATATTTTGCTAATTTGGGGGGTTATTTTTTCTTTACTTCATTTCATCACACGTTAACCTACAACTTTCACATATTCGGAAATGTGTGCTCACCGGAAATGCTTGGCCTGCCTTTCGGTGCAATTTGGGTACCCCACTGGGCCAGCGAAAGTGTTGACATACAATTCAAGCATATTATACAAGTTATCTGAATCTAGCTACAAACAGCAAAATTTATCAATGATGGAATAAACAGTACTTTAAGTGGATTCCATTCATACTGATCTATCAAACAATAGAACTGACGAGTTAAATGAAACACATTCCCTCAAAGGAGAAGTCAATTATAACTTTGAATATCTGATAAGCATTCACAGCAACTAATCTACAGTACAGTACTAAAGGGAGCCGGCGGCCAAGCGGACAGCACGCTGGACACGTGATCCTGTGGTCCCAGGTTCGATCCTGGGCACCAGGAGAGAAACGATGGGCAGAGTTTCTTTCACCCAATGCCCCTGTTACCTAGCAGTAAATAAGTACCTGTGTCAGCCGTCACAGGCTGCTTCCTGGGGTGTGTGTGTGGGGGGGGGGGGGAAATACTAGTAGTAGCAGTACTGTAGTAGAAACAGTTGATTGACAGTTGAGAGGCGGGCCGAAAGAGCAGAGCTCGACCCCCCGCAAGCACAACTAGGTGAATACAGTATATATATCAGAGAGAAAAATCTGTTAGTTATTCCAGATATTATACGATCACAAAAGATGAACCACATACTATGGGCCTTCCAATATAATATAGCAGACTCTTAGATGTTACTACTGTTTGGCTATGTCAGAGTTTGCACCATCTGCTGATAAAGTTAATACATTTTGGTCATAACTACAACAAAACTATTCTTACATTCTTTCTGCATTACAAGAATTTAAAGAAATATTCAAATAATTACCCAAAATTTTAAGTATCCCAAGTTTGCCTACTCCAAGTAGGGGATATACTGCCTTAGCTCGTGTAATTACTGTTGCCTACCGAATGGGTGCGGGGTGCATGATCAACATAAATGTAAATACTGTATTTCGCAATGAAGGCTAAATTGCTTAGCACAGAAAATACCTAGTCCAGTTGCTGAACTCTTGTGACAAAAGTCCTGCTACTGCTCACATGATGGGTATGGGGATCATAATTAAACTAAATCTAAGTCAAGCTGACCTGTGCCTGTAGAAGAGTTGGTGGCTCTGCGAGAGAGAGACCACCTGAAGGAGGAGCGGACATTGAGGGCCCGTTCTCTTGCCTTGCTAAGGAAGGGTGCTGTAGATACTGTGTACAGAAGTGGGTTAATAGCTGCATTCAGTGGAAGGACGAACACAGCCACCCACGCGAATACCTGCCATTAGGTAATGAAATCAGTGTTTTTTCTTGGGACTATAGGCATCTAGATGAGGACTATGGTGGAGACAAGAAATATGAAATTAAAGTATGGAATCCACCAAGGTCAGCAAGAGAAAAAGATCTTAAGAATAGAACATAGCACCGAATCTATCTCTAGAGGTATGCATCAATAAAATCACATTGGAAGCATATGCTCGAGTGGCAAAACATGAGGAAATTAAATGTGGAAGCATTCAAAATGTTTTATACAAGATTTGGCCACTACTAGAGTATGCAGTTACAGAGCCTCGCTTAAAAAATGTGAAAATACTGTACAAATGAAAAATGAAATGTGTAAAAAGTTTAAAAAAAATTTATTCCTTCTGTTTATTAAAAAATAATATCTAATGTTCTGTTGCAATTTCTGCTGTACCAATCATCATATAATTGTCATTTTTTTATTTCTCTACTTCAGTTAATTTTTGCTTCTGATCTCAATGCTTTAAATCTTTAGTTTTTAAGACCTTTTCTACATCATGGCTGAAACGCTGTGCATATTAGTAGCTTTAGGCATAGTACTTGCCCTATCACGAAATCCAATACATCATTCTTTTAGTATCTTATTTTGTATAATGTACTTTTGCCTAAATAAAAATTATTATTAGATACACTATATAAAAAACACACTGCAAAGATGGAGATACTACTGTAGTATAAAAGTTACAACTAGTCAGGTGACTGAACTACTTGAGAGTTAAGCAGCTAAATTTAATGACTAGAAGTAGTTTGCTCAAATTGACATGATTATTTATGCCAACAATATTCCAAATCCACCAACAAAAATTTTATTTTTTGTTTGCAGATTTGGAATTTTTTTGGAAATTTTTTACAATTTGCAACAAAATCCCCTGCTTTTTGTGTCTTTTTAGAGAGAGAGAGAGCTAGGTTTTGCCGTCTAGTCCCTGGCAGGCTTATGGATGATGACATAAGGATCTAGCCTAGATTAAATTGGGTGGAGCTTGCCAGGTAGCAAGCACCAAGAAGGCAGCATTAGAGGTCCCCTCCCAGAAAATACTCGGATGAATTGATGGAAGAGAATGTCTTACTTTAGCAGTAATGTAAGGAGAGAGAAAACATGGTAGTTAGACATGCAGAAAACCTACAGAAAAATGAGGAACTCACTTCTTCAGTGCAAGTGGAATGAATTAAATGAGGAACTGGTAGGGGTTACCTACATCCATAGTTTTAAATGCAGATTTAACAAAAAACAAATGGGTTGGATTGAATTATTGCATCAGACAACTGACAGCTGGAGAGGTACAGCTCAGGAGCTAACATTCACTCCAACAAATTTTGTTAGGCAAGTATTGTGCTGTGAACATTGCAGGCATAAAACCTGGATATAAACCTGAAATAACTGACCAATTAATGATTAAATAAGATATGTTAGAGAGATGGTTAGTGGAATGTAACCTCTCAAGACACACCTGGGGAGGTATGGTGGCACCTGCAAGGGAGACCACGCCCAACAAGATTATGGGTAGCCAGCAGGCAGCATCTGTTACTACAATGAGCGTCATCTTTCTGGCCATACTGGACTCCCGCCGTTGCAAGTCGCTTCTGACAGCGGCACTAGAGGAGCGCGCTGCCTTATACATACCCCAGTATGACCCAGCGATCACAGAAAATGACGCCAGATTCAGGACTGGTAAAGAAGAGTGGACTGTTAGGTTGGTCATAGTAAATTTAAAACCATATTTCATAAAAAAATATTTAATGATTGACTTTGTTCATTATGCACCCCATACCCATTCTGTGGGCAGTAGTGGAAAAGGTTACAAAAGCCCATAATTCAGTTAAGCAGGCAAGTTTAGTTTGATAAGCTTGTTACACAGTTTTACTGTCATGCATTGTATACAGTAAGCAAATTTTGGATATTTGGTCAAGTTTTCTGGAAGCACACATTTTTTAAATTACACACACATTTCTTGAATATTTGTAATAAAATTACTGTATTTCTGAATTCTTCAGAAATAAAAATTTCTTCACATTATCTAATATCTAACCTGCTGACATAGTTTACATTTAATCAGGTCTACTCTAGCAGATGGTAATGAAAAATCTTGGACAAATACTTTCAAGAGTGTCAATTACAGTAATGAGATATTGGTTAACTACTGTGTTACAATGTATGCCTTCAATAACTGAATTCATGATGTGATATACTGTATATAATATGGTTTTGTTTCTTAAATAATATTTATGCCATCAGTTTTGTAATCACTGTTTAGTCATTCATTCAATTCAATTACTGTACATTTAACAAGACTGATTTACTGTGCTGTTAATACAGTGTGATTTATTTGTATTTACTATATATTACATCTGTAACACAGTTAGGTTCGTTCTCAACTAACAAGTGGGAATCCCAGAATCATATCCTGGGTGGGACAGAAATAGTTGGGCACGTTTATTTCACCTAATGGTTCTGATCACCTAGCAGTAAATAGGTACCCGGAAGTTTGTCAATTTTTTGTGCAGTTGCATCCTGGGGAGGATCAGTAGTCCGACTTGGTGGGGGTGTGGGACCTCGATACAAGTCTAGCATACAGTATATACATGCACAGGCTTCCTTGACAAAACTAATTAAATTATGATTAATTATTATGATTATTATTATTTATGAGCATCTTTTATTACTCTAAATAATGTTACTACTTTATCATCTTTGTGTAGTCTATACTTTATTAAGAACTATGAAGTACAGTACCTAACTTCATCTTCATAACATCCCACTTCGTACATTATAATATACTGGGTAGCACAAGTGCAACTTCATCACTATCATTTTATTTTCTCTCTTTTTATACTGATGTTCATTATCATGCAAATTCAAATTCTGTTAAAATGTATCTATCATTATGTTTATTTGCTAGCTTAAAAACCTGCGGGAAACACTATGCGTGTTGGTGACTTTGCATGAATGCCACCAGCATACGTACTTTGACCCACTATTTTCTTATATAAGAATAAATAGATTGACAAGTGTATAATATACAGTACACATTTTGTAGGTCTGTAGGTTATTATGATCCGTCTCTAGTATCACCACTTGTATTTTTTCTATGCTCGTGTAGATTTGTTGATTTACAAATCATTACATTGTAAATCAACAATGACCCTGGGTGTCATTTCCTTCCTAGGGCCCTAGGGTGTGATGTTCCTTATAGCTGGGCTCTCTTATACTCATCCCAGTAGTATAAGATTTATTCCACTGCCATTCTCCCGTGGGTGCATTTTTTATTCTTTCTAGAGCTAGATATAAATCCTTTTACAGGTTTAAGAATTCATGTTCATCTCCAAAAGTGGCTGATTGGGATTGGCAGTGGTATTTGTTGCAGAACCAGCACTGTGCTAAGGTGTTAGACCTGTCTTGAATTCAATTTTTTTTCTATATAAGCATTATTAGTAAATATGCACCTATATCATTGACAAGTGTAGAAAAATACATTTACGGAAAGAAATTGCATAATAATGGACAGACAAATGGTTTTTGACCAGTAAGATCTGTGTAACAAATCTAATAAGTATTTATAATAGAGCAATAGAGATCTTACAGAAAATAGAAATCTGGGTCAATCACATCTATCTGGACCTACAAAAGGCTTGTAACCGAGTGCTGTGGAAAGGGTTGTTCTAGGAACTAGAACATATAGGATGGGTGACAATCAGACTACTGACATAGATGAATAAATTTCTGACAGAAAAACGAGAGCAGTAATTAGAGGAAATGTAACAGACTAGATAAATGTTGCTAATAGAATACCACAAGACCTGGTGCTAGTGCCAGTAATGGTATGTCTATACAGTATATAGGATCTACTAGAAGAAATTCAGAGTTATATGAATATGTTGGCAGATAAGCTACTATTGAGAATAAACCCAAGATGACTGTCATGCCCTTCAAAATGACCTAGACAAACTAAGTGAATGTACAAAATAATGTAATGTTCACATTAAATTCCAGATGGAATTTAATGTAGACATAAGGTACACAATGGAATGTTTAATTTGGGGAAAACAGGACACATATCTATTATGCAAAAAGATGCAGAACTCTGAGAAAGACATATAGAGGTGAATTTGGATAGAAAGGAAATTGTTCATAACATTGAGACTGAAATTAGAATATACAGCAGCTGTGTGGCATTTGTATATCAAAAAAGAACAAAATAACAAAGTTGTTGATATGCTACTGAATGGCTTCTAAAGCTAAGGAAGATGAAGGTACAAAAAAAATTCATAAAGATGCTTTTGCAAACAGTGGTACCGTAGACGGTTGGAACTAGGTAAGTGAGAAAGAAGTGGAGGCCAAAAAATATCAGTAGTTTCAAAGCATTATATGATAGAGTGCTTGGAAGAAGGGACACCACGAGCGTATCTCTCATCCTCTAATTACACTCACCCAGGAAGAGGAACACAGAGTACTGCCAGCCACTGGGTTTCTCGTGGGTAATGTGTAGAGCCAGACACACCCCAGATCGCCCGTAGAAGTTCCTGTATAAACAAAACCCTCACTTAATTAACTACTGTACTGTATATGTAGAGGGCACAATATCCAGGAGTAATGCTAATTCAAAGTCGTATTAATGTTCCATTTGGATATTGTGCCCACTGGGATACATTTTGAAAGTTTATCCATTTATTTATTAGTCGTTTTAAATTTTTATAAACTACACGGTCCTGTGTGAATCTATTGAATTTCATCAAAGTGCTATGAATGGAGGAATTTTTGTAAAACCACTTTGTGTATCTCATTTCACTTAAAGTATCGAGTGTATCGAGTTCCACTAATTCTACACGTGTGGAGCTAAGCCAGTTACAGTATTGAGTCTCACACGTTGTCTGCGTACATCTGTTGTCTTTGTATATTCTACAGGCTGCTGCAGTGCGACCTGGTGACATTTGAACAGACCCATCAGCGTAAGCATAATGCTCGTGAGGCTGTAAGTTGTTTATAAGAGAATCAATAGTTTCAAGTGTTGTTGCTTTCAGGAGTGCTGGGTTTTCCTAACTTTTTGCTGATGGAGGTGTAAGACACTTGCATTCAAAGATACAGATATAATGGAATATCATTGGCTAGTACATTGTATACAATTGGAATATTCAGTTTAATGAGATTGGCAACATTTCTACTCAATCAGCTTGCATATAGGTTGCCAGCTGGTGCATTGTCAACACCTTCCTCTTTTTAGTTAGTTTTTCTCTAAGTAGTAAGTAGTAAGGGTGATGTTGGATCTCTCATCACCCTTACACAGAAGGTAGTATTGAACTGCTCAATTCTTTCACATATGGTTTGGAGTTTCAGCTCATCCCTATGTTGTTGATTCTTGTGCATCTGGGAGCTCCAAGAATTAACCTCATGGCTTCATTTTGAATTTTCTCTAAAGCTTTCAGGCTAGTACTGGGGAGATTAATAAGGTGCATGGCATGGTAGTCTACTAGTGACCTAATGAATATCATGTAGAACATTTTGGCATATTTAAAATTAATACCAATGTGCTTCACAGCAAGCATTCTAAGAGGTTTTAACCTTTCTTTAAGCTTAAGCTGTAGTTCACTTACAATGTCACTACAGTATTAATATTTACACCGAGGTATTTGTATTGCCTGCAGTCTTCAATGCGTTGATCATTGACTTTAAAAACAGGAGGATTATTGATTTTTATGTCCTAGATTTTCCTGTGGAGACTAAGCTCACATTCAATACATTTATTTGCAAGCGTATCAAGGAGAGTCTGCAGCCGTGGCGTTATCGTCCTGGAATATTATAAATTCGCGTGACTACAGTACTTTATAATGGTCCAGGACTGACCAAAACGTTGTCCTTTCTCCATTTTCTGATGTGTGATTTGGTCGTCAATTACAGACTTATTTATGTTAGGTTTGATCAAATTTCTACGTTGGTTTTAACTCAAATTATACAGAAATCTAATTATATATAATGTAAAGCATCATTCCATACAAAAAATAGTGAAACATATAATATCTCAGGAAAATTCGGTTTCTTAGGCAACTTTGTCTCTCTATTGTCTGCTCAATTCTCTCTATTGTCTCTTGTGCAAAGTGCACAAGAGACAATAAAATTCAGCCTTATATCGAGATCCCCTTCCCAAAGTTAAAACTATTTATTCAGGATGCAACCCCATAAAGGCTGTTAACTCCCAGGTACCTATTTACTGAACTAACTATTTCCTATCTCCACGAGTGTAGCGGGTCTGTAGGGGTGTTAGACGTAGGTAGGTGTAATAACCTTTCAATATTTTTAATGTAATTGTTGGTCGAGTGGGCAGAGTACTGTGGGTGCCATTCTGGCGGCGTAGGTTCCAATCATTGAGAGGTTATTTCAGTTTGCTGTTGAAACATCTGTAGCTTTTAGACCATTCAAACTTTACACATATACAGCAAGCAAGTGAAACAAATTAGAAAGGAAAGTAGAAGCAGCTTCCTCCATCCGCAATTTTAAAGCAGGAATGACGATAAACAAAGGGGTCAAGAGTTATTTTATTAACTGGCCGATAGAAAGTCAAGGCTTTGAAGTTCGATCTGAAAACTGTTAGATAAGTACACGTAGACACTAAAGAAGGCACTGGTAGAGGGTTGGGGAGGAAGGCGTGGTAAAGTTAATGCGTGACCGGTGCTAACCTGAAGTACTGGATGTTTGCAAGAGGAAGGGCGGCAAGGAACGCAACGGCTGCCCATACTAGACCCATGATGACCTTGGTCCATCTCATACTCAGACGAGGCAAACGGAATGGGAACACAATCACCACTAGCCGCTCCAGCGTGATAACTGTTGGGGACGGAGAAGGACTTGGTGATAAAAGGAAGGTTAGCAAAGGTGAAAAGGACTTGGTGATGTGAGAATGTTTAGCGAGGGCAGAGAAGAACTTATTGATGTAAGGATGGTTAGCGTTGAGGAGCGGCCATGACCACAGCCGTGGTAAAGCTGAAGGACGGAGGAGGTAGTGTGGTGAAGGCTGGTGGTGACTGGAGAGGAAAGGCAGCGATAGTAATACCACTGGTTATAACTGGCAAAAAAAAAAAAAAATAAAGAACAAATCCACAAGGGCCGTGATGAGGGTTCGAACCTACATCCGAGATGATCCCGGAATTTGTTCATTTGATGCATCACGCTATTGTCATTTCTGTGTGTATCCAGAGATGTCCAGGTAAAGACAGCTAGAATTATGGGCATGAGAACATTACCTTTTAAAACATACCAGTTGAAGAGAGTTCCTAAGGAAAATAAGTAATGACTGATGTGTTTACTGTAGAAATATTAAAACTTAAGAACTACTGGATTATATTCATTTGTTTATATTACATCACTAATAATTGCAGAAGCCTCTTCAGGCGTGAGTCGAGATGCTAAAGCCATCATTATATTTGTCACCGTAACTAAAGAACAACGTAAGGAGCGTCCCTTATCTGTCTATGCCCCCCAGCCCAAACTTGTCTTAAGAGGTCAGGTCGGGCTGCTGGAGTAGTTAATAACTTTAATGGCTTTCTTTATTCTAATTTATAGTTACAACACAAATTATAATTCGTATTAATTTACAAATTTATTAATTTTATGGATATACTGTACAGCTAACGTGTAATCACTATGCAAATACTACACTGTGTAAACACTATGCAAATAAAGGAAACTAGTCTATAGAACTCGCTCCCTAATGAATTGAAAAGCTGTAACTTTTGCCTCAATCAAAAACAAAAAGTACCTAATTTCATCTTCATAGTTTCCTACTCAGTGCTTTAAAACTGCTCTGTATCTAGTGTTACCCAATCTCCCAATCTTTATGTACCTTATCCAAACAACTTGACCATTGTGATCATTGCTGTCTTATTATATGTGCTAGCAATATGCTGTTCTGTGTCTATTAATCTTTGTTAAATTACCATTCAAGCTGTCAATGTAATCAATCTGAGCTACCTATGTGCTTTAATATACCTACAATTCTCTCATTTTTTTTTGTTCTTACAATGTACCCGTTATCATTTTATAAATTTTGCTAGAATTTACCTACTTTAAATTATCTGTTAGATTAAGGACCTGCCCGAAACGCTGCCCGTACTAGTGACTTTACTAGAATGTAATTTGCTATGTATCCTCACAAACCCAATGTTCCTTCTTGTATATAAATAAATAAATGATTAAATAAATAAATAAAACGTCTCACAGTAAATGTCTCATCTAAGAAGATGAAATATTTACTGCTTATAATTAAGCAAGAGAAGTGCCATACCTCTGGTGTCTTGTTTTCCCGGGAGCTCCTGAGACAGTACGGATGTGATATCATAAATGACCAGCACGTGGCTGATTAGGTTTTCTGCTGTAGGTGAAGGCGTTTACCTGTGAGAGTGAAGACTGAGAGTTCGCTGGAGAAGGTGGAGAAGAAGCCTGCGAGCTGGCAGAGCGAGGAGGTCCTCCAGAAGGCGTCGTAGATAAAGTAGACACCGCGGTAGTTGATGTCTACGGCGGCAATGATGAGCAAGTAGAGTCCCATGCACAGATCCCCCAGCGCCAGGTTGGTGATCAGGAAGGAGTGTACCTGAGCAACCACCAGTGGTCATCACTACACCTGAACTACACGCAGTCATCATAATACCTGAGCAGCCACATGCAATTATCACTTCACACGAGCAACCATATGCTGTCATCACTTTTTGTACCTGATTTTGATCAATACTTTGTAGGGAAAACACATGCACGACTTCAAGTGTGTCTGACATACCATTGTCGGGTGCATGAATTCTGCTTGGTATATAGAGGTTGCTCTAGCCAAGGGCGAGGCTTTCACACAGTCACCCATACAATAACACGCCAAACCAAACTGTGCTTAACCTGACCGGCAGCGTGACGTACATCATCCATTGCGTCCATTGTTCTATTTTGATACACCTTCTATCAACGTTTGCCTCTCACCTTATTATCGTTCTCATAGAGGAGCCTCCAGACGATGACGAAGGAGTTGCCGAGGAGAGCTATGAAGCCCAGGACCCAGACACATACTCGCAGGACCCCGTTGGTCATGAGGTCCTCGCAGGAGCTGAACTCGTCAGGAGGAGGGTGGCACCGCCCCACCTGACGTGCTAGGCAGCAGAAGCGAAACTCGTCCGTCCACCTGACGAAGTGGGTGGGGGTCTTAGTAACATAAGGTGCTGGTCCTTTTGCTGTTTAGGGTTGTGTCAGATTTTCGTCTCTTCATCTATGGCCAATCTTGTCTAGCTGTCTGTGTTTCTCTATGTTCGGGAATTATGATACACTGATTACTAGTTAAGCAATGTCTATGTCTGTCGGTCTGCCTGTCTTTATGTAACACAAGTACACGTACAGTTACACTTACGTAGAGAAAAATAGTACAGAACAATCAGGTACAAAAGGGCTAGAAACTTTCACCCAAGGAAAAAAAATCACGGAAGGCTCCCCCCCCCAAATTAAATTAAGTACAGACCACGAGTCACAATAACGTGGCTGAAGATGTGACTAAACCACTCACCAGAAGATGAGGAGACGACGACGTTTCGGTCCGTCCTGGACCATTATCAAGTCATAAATTGTCATCCACACTTCAGGTGAATGGCATGTTTATTTCCAAGGGACTCTAGGAGTCTCGAGACTCCTAAGAGCCCAGGTGAATGGAACAATATCAAGTCTATTGTTATGGGAGCGAGGTGGTAGTGGTGGGTGTTTTAAGCTACTCGAACCCAAAAGTTCCAAGTAGCGCAGATAAGAGGAGGTAATTCCTAAAGGAAGGCAAGAGCAAATCGAAAGGTAAGAACAAGAGGAAAGGTACAGATGTGATAGGTGTAATAATGGGGTGGAAGATTGTTGTAAGAACGGGAACGTAAGAATAAGAGAAAGAAAATGAAACGGAAAAAATAAAATAATTCTGAAAATGCAATGAGTTAGATGTTATTATGATATATGGATTTACGATAATGGCTTCCTATGTCAATGGGGAGTAATACAGTAAATACAGGCCCCCTACAGGGGTCTGGTAGCTGAGTGGACAGCGCGCAGGACTCTTAATCCTGTGGCCCGGGTTCGATTCCCGGACAAGGCAGAGTTTCTTTCACCTTGATGCCCCTGTTATCTAGCAGTAAATAGGTACCTGTGAGTTAGACAGCTGTTACGGGCTGCTTTCTGTGGGGGGAAGGGGGAATTAGTAGTTGGTAACAGTTGACAGTTGAAAGGCGGGCCGAAAGAGCAGAGCTGAACCCCCGGAAGCACAACTAGGTAAATACAGTGTTTTGCCTATAGACACATGGACGGACGAGCTCGTGGACGGACGGAAGGTCGCTCTCAGAGACGGTTCATGGACGGACACAGACACCTGGGCAACAGATGCATTTACACAGGGAAGGACACATGCACGAATGGACTTAAGATTGATTGATTGATGAAGATTAAGCCACCCAAGAGGTGGCACGGGCATGAATAGCCCGTAAGTGGTGGCCCTTTTGAGCCATTACCAGTATCAAGAGCTGATACTGGAGATCTGTGGAGGCGCGACTGCACCCAATGGACTTAATGAATGCTCCCACATATGTATACCTACACACGTGCGCATATACACGAACAGAACGTACGTGGACGGAGAAATGGCTACGCGCACGCACTGATGCACGCACATGCGCGCACACACGGAGGGGAAAAAGGGGGGCGGGTAGAAGGACAGCATGCATAAACTCATGGGAAAGAACGGGTTCAAAAACGCCAGACACTCAATAACTGCACAAGTACCATTAGTGTAGCCGAGAAAAATGGCAATTAAAACTTTGCTCAAACAATGTCACAAGAGCTTTGTGGTGTCAAGGAGACTCCTTCTATATCTATCTAGTCATCAGTCTGCGTGTGTGTGTGTGAGTGTGAGTGAGTGAGTACTGGATCGTGTAGGGGGTGTGCGTGTGGAGGACAAGTATAGAGGGCACGAACACTCACAGATGGTGGAGGCTGGCGAGTCCGGAGAATACCCTCGGGTCCATCACACTCAGCTGGTTCTCCCGAAGGTCTCTGGCAGGAGGGGAAGGTGCGCGGGGGATAAAGTGTGCAGGGTGGAAGGGGGATTGGGTGAAAGGGGAATGGGGGAGGAGGGGGAGAAAAACACCAGTTGTTATCAACCAATAAACACTGTCACCTTCCTGCTACTCTCTCACCAACAATATAGTCATACATGCAACAACGAGGTAAAACAAAACATGATAAATAATCTGCTGAAGGGTTAGCTATATGTCTATTTACCTCTATCTCTCGTATAGTTAACTTTCCCCAAAATTCTCATCACAAGAGGCAGCCATGCACGTTCCTGATAAAAGGCTTTACTTGTTCAGAGTCTGAGCTACGTTTGTTTACATATCTCGCGTGTGACTGGGTTGGCCCCGTCTTGCAGCATTACTGCCTTCACATCTGGGCTCCCGCATCGCCCCGATGGCTGCCATAACTTGATCATCTTGGTCGACATCAGTTAAAGGCGCACATACCGCGACATGACTGACCTTCAGTGATGGAAACACCGATATAATGGGACCAAGTTCAAGTACGTTTATCGAGACCATAAAATACATTTCATATTGTGCAGCAATAAATCATTCGACCTACAATTAAAGAGCTTGCAAATTGATTACATGACGTATATTACAAACCTAGTTGACACACACTCCTCCAGGGGCTGCCTCAGGTTACTAGTCATGTGAGAACCTGCGTGCAATATAGCCAACACACAAACATCCTGTTTGGCATTCTCAAACCAACAACGGCTCAAAATTACAATATACATTTCATCGCCTGGGCACCATATAAGCCTCGAACCACCGACCACAGATAGTAGTCAGCCGCTCTACCTACCTATAAATATATATAAATATATATAAAATATAATTATATATATATATATTGTATGGTCAGTAAATAGTAAGAGTGACGACAGACCAAAAATCCATTCGTTCATACAGACGTATGAGTAAATATTATGCACAATGAGATCGCATTAAGGGAATGTCCTTATATATGTCCTTATATTAATGTATTAATATAATATAATCCTTACATTAATATCCTTATAGCCCCTACTGATTTCCTCACTAAATATTATTCTAAAACATTCTCAATTTGTTTCAACCGTTAATTCTAAACTGTAGATGACCTCAGGCATGTTGTTTACATGGAGAGTGACGCCTGCTGCGATGGTGAGATCTCACTGTTACACCACTACAATTGTCAATTTGTTTTGGTAGTAGCCTACTCTAGCCCTTCCAGCAACACAAACATAGGCTCCAGCACTACCAGCAACACAAACATAGGCTCTAGCACTACCAGCAACACAAACATAGGCTCCAGCACTACCAGCAACACAAACATAGGCTCCAGCACTACCAGCAACAAATGCAATAACACTTCCAACAAAAATTCCAAACTAGTCACAAGTAACACTAAAAATTACTCAAGGTTCGGCTCATAATATATTAACAAAACTGCGAAGCCAAAACAGTTTAATTAAATTCGGCAAAATAGTTTTTCCCGAGTCAGGAAAAGTGCAGAGCATTAGAGCCAATAAGTGGGTTAAAACAAGGCTTCGGAAAACTTTACTCGAGATGAAGTTTCTGAGAATTTCGTTAGTGACAAAGAGGTGACGCTTTCAAGCTCAAAATTTGAAGGGCAAAGTAATTGATCTGTGATATTTAGATACTTTAGATATTTAGACAGAGCCATCACCTATTCCTCCAATGTTAACATGGTCCATTCCCGGTGCTGTCTCGCTGTCTCTGGTACTTACAGGGACAGAAGGCTGGATAGACCACTGAAGGCGCCTCCGGACAGGTGATTCAACCGATTGTTGGACAGATTTCTGACAGGATGTGTGGAACATTAATTTTTAACATGGTAGGTGAGAACATGAATGTGTGTGTGTGTGTGTGTGTGTGTGTGTGTATGACAATTTAGATATGTAAATAAACAGAAGTATCTTCATTATAAAAAATAAAAATTGTGTAAATCATGTTAATTTTCCAATACAGTATATTTATAATTCACTAAAACAACCTTAATCATGTAACAATTTAAAAACACATCAGATTTAGACAAAATACCTCAAACACTCTCCGGAAGAAGAGCACAGTATTAACAAGCAAAGTTACAAGAATAGAGGCAGACGTCATTAGATGGGCCAAATAAAGTAACATGCAGAATTATACCAGCAGAGGAAAGGCAGGTAAAATAACTAGAAGCAGATGCAAGCAGTAAGAGAACAGGGGGAGAGAGAGAAAATTACAATTGGCAAATAGGGAACAATATAATAACAGCAGTGCACTTGCATCGCATTAGGCTTGGATACCCGCGGGCGTACAGGTTCCACAAGATGAGAGGAAATGTCAGCACTGGAGAAATTCCCGATAAACCACCGAGACGTTATCCAACAGTGCAGTTACAAACCCAAATAAGATGGCAACTAAGAGTTAACAGAGCAGAAGTTGTTAAAACACATTGGGCATAATCCTATTGAAGCAAACATACGAGTCAAATACACCGCTTAATTAATACAGAAACGAGTAACATTTACTGGGCCAGCCAGAGGCTTAGGGCCCGCGCAGGAATATCCCAGGGGGAAAAATGTAATAATAATAAAACTATGTGAGAGGAAGTGGGTTACTTACAGCTCGAGGAGGGAGCGGAGACCAACGAAGGCGTGGTGGGAGACGTTCTTCATTCCGTGCTGGCTCAGGTCTCTGTGGGAGGTGCTTGGTTATTGCTGACCGACCTACAATGTCGGTCAGGTGGGCGAGTTGCTGGTCGCCCACACAGGGTAGGCAACAACCAACTCGCTACCAAGGGGATCCAAGATAAAATCCCTTTACGTTCCTTTATTACGTTGCACACGCTGCTTGGTGTAATCCTGCTACTAAACCGTATTAAAAACGTTAACTGGGTTTGCAACATTGTTTTAATATAGTATCACTGGAATTTTGATACCACAATACTGACATATTTGAATCGTTACCCAAGCTATTATTTAAAAGTCAAATTTTATTTAAGATAGGCAGTACTGTAGTGAGGAATAATAGGCCTATTTAGATTAGGTTGGTAGGTTAATTTTGGCGCAATATATACAAAATTCGTATAAGTATTGAATATAATGTTATCAATATAAATATCACAACTTTGTCGTTTTGCAACTCTGATGAACAATTCTCACCAAGTGCAGAAAGGAATTGTTGCAGGCAAGGTCATGTTGCAGGTAAGGTCATTCATTGCAAAAGTGTCAATACGAAGGTGTCAGACGTGTTTATATGAAGCTTTACCTTTAGACAGCTTCCGAGAAGTTTGATTAGCGAGAAAAGTGTTGTTAAAGGTTACAGGAGACGACGACCACGCCATCAACGTTATTAATGTTATACATTCATTACACGAGTGGGTGAAGGTTTTTGTATACTCATCGGTAAGGAGTCAGCTATTTGTACTCACCTGTGTGTGCATGTAGCGCGAGCTTCATCCCTGGGGCTCAATTTTTAAATTACAGGTCTCTTTGTGCGGGTGATGAGTCACAATAACGTGGCTAAAGTATGTTGACCAGACCACATACTAGAAGGTGAAGGAACGACGACGTTTCGGTCCGTCCTGGACCATTCTCAAGTCGACTGAAGCAATATATACAGGTCTCTTGATTTTGCAACTGTATGGGACTAGCCTCAACTACCTCCCCTACTTAACATCTTCAAAACCTTTCACCTTTATTCCCTTTGTCAACGCCTGAAAGGACCGTGTATGTGGTGATTAACTTCTTTTCTGGAGGGACGGAAGTTAATCTTCTTGAGCTATCTTTCACAGCTCCCGTCCCTCAAGCGCTTGGGTCAGGGTTACGGCAAGACTCGTTATGGTGTGCTCTTTCACACTCCACATTAGGGTTGACTTCCCACAAGTAGTGTACAACGTCCCCAGACTTCCTTGTCCAGGGTTTGTAGAGCTACTTGAAGGCTCATAAGCGTCGTGTACACCGCTAATGTTATCCTGTTTGTGTGTACCTCTGGTGTAAGGCTCGATTGATTGATGAAGATAAGCCACCCAAGAGGTGGCACGGGCTTGAATATCTCGTAATGTAAGGCTCTGTGTTATGCTTCCTTATATATTCCTGTCATTTTCCGACAAGATTGCTCATCCTCACTGTATGTATTGTCTCTGTAGCCTTAGCAGCCCGGTACCCCATTCTCACTACCTTACATTTTCTTGTGTTAATCAAATATATTTCTAAACAAGCTTGGTTGTTTGTCCAAGTCTTCCTGGAACATTATGTAGTCTTTTTCTGACCAGATTTATTTCATCGGTAATACGACAACCAAGCAGTCGCCTTAGTGCTGGAAGCTGCTTTCGCCGGCAGCTTTCCTTTCATATTTTTGTGGGGTTCTTGCACACCATTAATGTTAAATTGTTTGGATGCGTGATTATTTAATTGAGCCTCAATTTCTTGAAAATTATAATATAAACATTCCATATTATTACTGTATTTGGGCGACTATGTCGATGGAAAAGGTACCGACTGTTTTACACAAACTATAAACTGGTGAATTAATGCCATGAAACTTTGCTTCCTAGGCAAATATTCTCTCCTGAGAACTGCGACCCACTTTTATTTGACTAAAACTATCAACTAACTAAACTCACCAGGAACATGTCCCTCTTGCTGAGAACCGAGGTCTTCCCAGTAAACATTTAAATGTTTCCTCTAAATTCCAAGTTTTCCCACTAAATTTCGTCTTTTTCCCTCTAACTTGCAAGTTTTCCCATTAGTGTTCGCCTCTGTAAGCAGTATTGTTTAGACTATCAATTATGTTTACAGTAATATTGGTATAGATGAAATGTTTTCTTATGTATCTGGCTTATTTGGGCACTCAGTTTCCACCTATGTCCCCTAAAGGGTATCATGTCCTCTCTAACTCTTATGTCTTCCAGCGACGTGAGGTTTAATTCCCGTAGTCTCTCCTCGTAGCTTATACCCCTCAGTTCGGGTACTAGTCTGGTGGCAAACCTTTGAATATTTTCCAGTTTAGTCTTATGCTTGACTAAATAGGATCACCATGCTGGAGCTGCATACTCCAGCATAGAGTCCATATCTAGTCAAGCATAAGACTAAATTGGAAAAGGTTCAAAGGTTTGGTACGAGAGAGAGAGAGAGAGAAGAGAGAGAGAGAGAGAGAGAGAGAGAGAGAGAGAGAGAGAGAGAGAGAGAGAGAGAGAGAGAGAGAGAGAGAGAGAAACACAGAGTGGATATAGTACAAGCAAAAAGAGCTGGACATCAACCCACAACACAACGAATAACGTAAATGTGTGAATTATGCAAACATTTATGAATACAGCTTACGAGGTTTGACTTTATAACCTTTCATCCATTTTCATGCTTCAATCACGTCCCACCTTTCTACCAACCATTCTAGTGAATGTGAAGTAAACCGTTAATCACTTTTCAAAAGATAAGTTTCTAATTCTCAAAATTTGCTCTCTGTACATTTCTCCAAAGAGGTGATTGTGTGATAACTTAGAAACCAGTTGGTTGATTATGGACTAAAGACTGAATTGTAGCATCTGAAGGTTGACCTTTGAGATTAGAGTGTGTTCCCAGAAACTTGAGGATGAACTTACAGCGTGGAGAGGGAGGAGAGCCCGTAGAGCGCCCAGGACTCCAGCGTTAGTATGGAGTTCCCTTTCAGGTGCCTGCAAAATATTATTATTATCATTATTATTACACTGGCGTATGAAAATTGTTAGGTATAAAGCACGTGTGTGTGCTAATTCACCTGTTTTTATGTGTATTTACTATTTGTATAGGTGCCTGCAAAATATTATTATTATCATTATTATTACACTGGCGTATGAGAATTGTTAGGTATAAAGCACGTGTGTGTGCTAATTCACCTGTTTTTATGTGTATTTACTATTTGTATTTATTTTTTGGGGCCTGAATTGTTGAATCGTCAGCTCCTGGACCCCGCCTTCCTAACTGTCGATTGTCTAATTTACTGACTCGACCTATTTTTCTTCCATCATATTTATTATATATATATATATATATATATATATATATATATATATATATATATATATATATATATATAATATATAATATATAATATATATATATCTCACACACACAAGCTCGAGAAGCTCAGGAATCTGTACACCAGTAGAATGACTGTTGAGAGGCGGGACCAAAGGGCCGAAGATCAACCCCTGCAAGCACAACTAGGCGAGTACAAACACACACACACACACACACACACACACACACACACACACACACACACACACACACACACACACACACACACACACACACAGTAAACCCACTATTGTGATCTTAAAGCTTTAGTTTTCGTCAATAAATTTTGAGGCGGTCAAAAAGGGTAAGCGGGCAGCGTAGAGTATATAAACCGTAGGGAAAGGGAGGATAAAGTGTTAAGGATAAAGGATAAAGGATAAAGAGGATAAAAAGTTAAAGTCCACTAGACTGTACGACACAGTGGTTGCAAGGATCAGGTTGGGTTACCGTTACCTGTGGCAGGTGGCTGCAGGTGACGGGTCTCCCAATCCTGAGCACTCCAGGTGCAAACTCTGTGAGCAGGAACTACGGCATGATCTCCCGCACTACATCACTGAATGCCCAGTTATTAGACCTTTCAGACCAGTTGGCATGAGGTACCTGGAGCTTTGCAATTACTTTATTCACTCTCGTATTCTTGAAGATATCCTCACAGTATACCCAAAATTTGCCAGTGCAGGCTATTAAACACATGGCTCTGTATGACTAACCATCCTGCGAGATGGGGACTTGTATTACCACTGCTACCTTATTCAATCTTGTGTTGTTGATATCCTCAAAATGCATCCGGAGTCTGCCAGTGCAGACCGCTTATCACATGCCTCTGTATGACTAATCATCCTGTGTGATGGGGATTTTATAGCATCACCTAGTTAGCTTTTTTGACACACTGTACTCCACTTCATATAGTCTAGGGTAGCTGCACTAATGCAGATGTACCTCATAACTTAATAAAAAAAAAAAAGAGGATAAAGTGAATAAATATCAGAACTTGTAAAAGAAAAAGAGAAACGGTTTACAACTATTCATATCCGCCAAATTGGTCTGAACAAATATTTCCAAACCGAGTGATTTCCAGCTCCCCCCACAACATATTTTTCCCCAGTACTTCGTGTACCATATAGCCGTTTTTAGCACAGATATTATGACGTGTAAAGAAAGGCAGAGAGAGAAAGGGAAGGGAAAATTCAGAATCTGACCCATTAAAAGCCATATGCAGAATCTAGTAGGCAAGGCAGTCCATAACCTTATGGCAGATTGCATTCCCTCGACAACAATTTTACACAACTCATAAATACGCCTCCATCTTGAGCATGTACCGTTCCCCTGGAAGACTTGCCACCTCCATTTCTCAGACTTCAGGGCAGAGTAGCGAACTGTGATAAAGATCATCTCAAAATTTGACCCATTCTGGTTAAACAACCCGAAAACAGAAGCTGCAACACAAGGCGCTCAGCCATCAAGCTATAGCTGTACCATACATATCACTCCATCAGCGAACATTCATTCCTCGGCTGACTCAAGGTTTGAACAACTTATCTCAACAAGTTGGCTCTAGCTTCATCTTTTATCTAGTTTGATTGTAGCATTAAATAAAATTCACACGTAATGCAAAACGAATAAAAATATAATTTATGGATTAGTAACTAGAGTGAAGCTTCAAATTAAAGGACAACTCAGCTTGCAGTTTCATTAAAGAATATAGGTACCATTCCTAACCAGTCCTAGCATGCTCAAATATGCAAAGCTTGCAGGATATATAGAGGTCTATGAAGGATGCTTCACTAGCATCCTGAAGGCTATGCTGATGTTTGTCAGCTTTTATATGCATTGAACGTATTCTGCTACCGTTCTTTTATGTTAGGCTTGTGGTGTGTGTGTGCGCGTGTGTGTGTAGAAATCCTTTACTAAACACAACAATTAAAATCCTTACACGTCCACAAATTCTACACGTGTCCAGACCTCACGAACGGTTGGGTCATATCGCAATAACTTGCCAAGGACTTGAACTTGGCCCTCTCCCCCGCCTCTCCAACACACTCACTTACAGCACACTGAAGCAAGACGAGAGACTTCATTACTCACAGGGTCTTAAGGTTAGCCAGGCCGAGGAAGGTGGAGTTAACGATGCTGTCGAGGTAGTTGTGCCGCAGGTCGAGTATCCTCAGTCGACTCAAGTGGAGGAAGACGCCAGCTGGTAAACACGAGAGGCTGTTGTTGCTCAGGTCCCTGAAGGAGGGAAGGGACGAGGCATGGAGCTATTGACCACAAGGGCACAGATTCACGAAGCAGTTACGCAAGCACTTACGAACCTGTGCATCTTTTCTCAATCTTTGGCGGCTTTGTTTACAATTAATAAATAGTTAATGAGCTCCGAAGCACCAGGAGGCTGTTTATAACAATAACAACAATTGATTGAGACGTTTTCATGCTTGTAAACTGTTTAATAAATGTAACCAAAGCCGTCAAAGTTTGAGGAAAGATGTACACGTTTGTAAGTACTTGCGTAACTGCTTCGTGAATCTGGCCCAAGGGCAGCGGAGGCGGAACGTAGACACGAAGTATTAATACAAATTTGAAAACGCCTAAAAACAAAAGGCCTAAACAAATAAAATAAATATACAAATGGGCAAGTGTATCTATACGGATGAGTAATTAAACAAGTGAACTAAGGGTAATGACCCCCCACCCTCACACATGGTGGACCCCCCTCCTCACATATTGGGGGAAGGGGGGTGCCCACCCCACTCCCACATATCAGGGATATGTGGAAGTGGGGAACACTCACAGAAACATTTACCCTCCTAAAAAATCACGCATGAGACCATTCTCGTCATAACAGCACAAAATATTAATAAATCAAATTAATAAGTTTTTAAGTTCTATTTAGAACTTGCAAAAATAAATCTCGCGCACCTCCCTACACTTTCGTCCAAATCTGAACGAGTCTGTTTGAAACGTTGCCAGTATAAGAAACTTAAGAGCTCTCTACTGAAGATTTTAAAATTGATGTCATTCTATAAGGTTTGTGTGTAGGTGTGTGTGTGTGTGTGTGTGTGTGTGTGTGTGTGTGTGTGTAGGTGTGTGCTCATACGAGCTATACTGACATAGTATTCTACAAAACAGCTGATGCGAGGAGCCACCTGTTGGCTCAGGTTTACACCATTGCCCCCTGTACCTGTGGCACCATTGCTAATTCATTTTCAACAGTTCTGATAGCGTTTAATATTAAATTTATCTGACTTTACTAATCACAAAATTCTGTACGTAATTAATAAAAATTTTAGATGAAAATCTGAGAGATTTTTAGCCTAGTTTTTAGCTTTAGCCTAACTCCCGTTACAGAATTTAGAATTTAGAAACTTTATTCGCAAAAAACGTATACAAATCATAACCATAATGGCTGAACTAGTGGTGTACAGCACTGCAAATCTAGCTTACATTTTTGGCATAAAGTGAGCAACTTACAATTTGAAAGGCGATATACATGTTTGAAAAAAAATGTAGTTTACCATTAGAGCGGTAAGACGGATAATGGTACAATTTATACCATAAAATCTCGATGACGAGAAGACAATTTAATGAACTAATGTACTCTGATCATAACTTGAAAGTATATAAACTTTTCACGCCCTCAGCCTGTACTGGAGAGACATCTCCCGTCACGCAGGGTGCAGTCGCACCTCCACAGATCTCCAGCATCAACTCTTGATACTGGTAATGGCTCAAAAGGGCCACCACTTACGGGCTATTCATGCCCGTGCCACCTTTTGGGTGGCTTAATCTTCATCAATCAATCAGCCTGTACTGGAGAGAAACCAGGTGCAGCTATCGTGGCACCTGCTTTCTTCCTCCTAATATCAAACACCTTCACACTCTTAACCCTTGTATTTGTACAACCTTAAGTATGAAGGCGAGGAGTCACAATAACGTGGCTAAAGTATGTTGACCAGACCACACACTAGAAGGTGAAGGGACGACGACGTTTCGGTCCGTCCTGAACCATTCTCAAGACGACTGTCTTGAGTGGACTTGGCAATCGACTTGAGAATGGTCCAGGACGGACCGAAACGTCGTCGTCCCTTCACCTTCTAGTGTGTGGTCTGGTCAACACACTTAAGTATGAACCCCCAGAACTTTATGTACACGTGTGTGTATCGTATACATTCTCATATGGCACATCGATATCTGTAATATCATCTCTGTACTGTGTTAACAAGTACATGTTACCGGACCCAGAGAAGGTAATCATGAGGAGAAATCACGTAGCCAGTATGACTATATAGCACTTCGAACGTTTAAGTATTTGGGATATGGGCGAAGGGTAGGAACAACCACTCAGACCATTGGGGATCGAACGCCGACCTGCAAGAAGCGAAGCCGTCGCTGTATCGACCAGTTCAAGTGGTTAGCCCCAAGGAATCATCCATGACGCTTGTCATCTTTTGCCATTAGACCTTTATTTCTAGTCTTACCCCACCATTAATAAAGCTTCTTTCTTCAAGAGCTATCATTAGCAATTTTTAATCTCAATATAATTTTATATCTTTCTTAATACTCTTAATTGCTTATGATATTGAGCTCTAAGGCACTACACAATAACGGGGTTCCCGCCGTCCCATCCCCAACCCTTATCCTGACCCATTCCAAGTGGTATATAGTCGAATGGCTTGGCGCTTTCCCCTATTAGTTCCTTACCAACTACTTGGGCTGGACGGTAGAGCAACGGTCTCGCTTCATGCAGGTCGGCGTTCAATCCCCAACCATCCAAGTGGTTGGGCACCATTCCTTTCCCCCCGTCCCAAATCCTTATCTTGACCCCCTTCCCAGTGCTATATAGTCGTAATGACTTGGCGCTTTCCCCTATTAGTTCCCTTCCTTCAACCATAACCGCGCGCAACAACCAAGACAACCACCACAACCACCACTACCACAACCACCAGCATGACAGGAGTACTCACAGGAAGACCAAGTGCCGGTAGGGGAGGAAGGTGGTGACGTCGAGCGTGTAGTTGAGGAAGTTTCCCGCCAGATGGCTGACGGATAGAAATAAAACATATATACAGTGAGGCAGATGGTAATACACCATACATGGTGAGGCAGATGGCAATACACCATACATGGTGAGGCAGATGTAAATTATTATACCACAAACTCAGCGCCACAACATCCAATTCAGCGCACGAGAAGACCTCCAAATTGAAAGTTGTACTGTGTGTATATATATATATATATATATATATATATATATATATATATATATATATATATATATACACAGGGGCCACAGTATAGCTTTGCATATACACGCGCGCGTACACACACACAGACCATAAATCTACCCTTATACTTCCACAATTTCCATTGCAACTATCACTATTTTATACCACCTTCCTAAGCCCCCCAAATCCCACTCTTGTCACACCCCAACATCCAACCCTGTGTCTCACAGCCATCTGCCCGCTGCTCTCTTCCACATCACTGATCCCTGACCGAAGCTAACCTAAACGAAAGGTTTAGTTCCTTTGTTCCAAGGCTGAAATCAAACCATTAAGAAAACATGACTACAATTTAGACATTGTACAGCAATGCTGATGGACGGTCAAATAAAGCAGACGAACCCAAAGAAAGGACAAACAGACCATGATGTAATAGGATTAGAAGAGTCCAAATTAACTGGTATAATTAACAGTGCAATATTTCCAAGTCTCTAATCGTATGGTAACAAAGTATGGTCATGCCCTGTCATTATCTTCATATCCACCTAGCCTCTGTAATCCCTACTTAGTCTCTCCCTCCCTTCAACACCGACTCATCATCCTTTCCCACAACCCGTCCATATAAATTATTTCCAACAAGTTTCTTATGAGGTTTACTTCCTCTTCGCACCACCACCAGACCCTCCACCAACACCCCCACGCACACCTACTAAGGTATAAAGTACCAGGAAAACCAATCTGATCCAGGCGCTTATCCTGCAACATATGGCGTGATTATCTCCTAAGGACAAATAATGAACCTTGAACTCACAACAAGGGCTTAAAAGCATACTCACAAGCGAGATATTTGCGACTCTATGTCGGAGGGGAGAGAGGTCATGCCATGGTTCAGGCAGGTGATGCTTATGTCTCGACATTGGCAGTAGGGGGCCGACGCCGAGCACGCGAAGGCTGCAATATAACGGGTTTCGAATACAATTGATATAATACATGGTTTTTAGCAGGTCTGAAATGCAATAGATGGCTGCATAGTAACAAAGCTGGATCACAAGTAGTAGTTGGAACGCACTGCATAAGTAAATGTTATATTTATGTCGTGTGCTGAATATGATATAGGACTGTCAAGGTGTCATTTACCGCTTCAGGTGTGTGCCTATGTGATGTGGTCGGTGACTGCACATACACGCACACATCACATGTATACGCAAACAATGAAGGTCACCGATTGGGAAAATGAACGCAAAAATAAAACTTAAAGGAGACATGATGTGAAGCGTGTCTTCAGAAGCACCTATCAACAAAATTACAGCAGCAACATGTGCAAAACTGCCCAACCTTCTAGTACCATTCAGGAAACTGAAGAAGAATCCTTTCATGAAGGAGCACACTAACTACGGGAGATCAATACTATAGGTCGCAGCCTCAGCATGAAGCCTCCGGCTAAACAATGCACACGATCATACAATAGAGGCACGCCTGGAGACTGCTAACGAAGAGGACTGGAGTACGGGCACACTGCAGGCTCGAGCCCAGTACACTAATTATCAGAAAAATACTTTGGTGAAGAGGAAGCGAGTAAACAGAATGCGTTAAATGAGGAAAAGGCGAAAGCAAACTCCATATATAGAGATTCGAGTGCAAATATGACTATGAATATGAATTTGGGTCGGCCTAAGAACTGTATTTCCCCTCTCCACAAGCAATTATAGGCGAGTACACACACACTTCTAAACCCATATGGTTTGAGAAATGATAAGGGTACACGCGGCTTGCGCAGGTGCTCCGAGAAGAGAAAGGGAAGCCGCTGCACCATCACTTGTTGTTGTTGTTACAGATTCAGCTACTCGGAACAAGTTCCAAGTAGCACGGGCTATGGTGAGCCCGTAACTTACCTGGCACAGGAGCGGGGCAAGAAGCACTGGGTTTGGTGAGCCCGTAACTTACCTGGCACAGGAGCGGGGCAAGAAGCACGGCCTATGGTTAGCCTCGTGGACGGGAGATGTCTCCAGTCTGATGCACCATCACTACCGCGGTCTCTTTATTACTCCGCCCACCTCCACTCCCTGCTGACCCTCGCATCGTTATCCAGTCCATCTACACCCAACGGAACCACAGTTTATCAGCAACAAACCACATGTGCGAATCTTACAACCTGTCCTAAAGCCAGGCTCGTTAAAGCAGCAGCCGTCCCCGAAGACGCATTCCTCAATTTTGACGTATTGTGAATTAAAAATAGGTTTCTTCTCATATAAATTAATATTATATATGAGAGTTCTATGTATTGTTAGGTGGAGGTTAATTTGTTGTTTACGTTCTCGGAGATTATCTACATTTGTAGTACGTGGGTGAGACTTTTTTTTTGAGATATATACAAGTTGTTACATTAAGCGGTAAAGCACTATTTGAGAAATGTTCGAACGTCATCAGCTGTGAGTGGTGAGCAAAACGTTTCTCATTCCTAAAGAAAGGGTTTGTCGGATGGATGGAATAAACATTTCAACAAACTTATCTTCAAGCGTTATATCCTCTTTCAAAATTAATCCATTAGCTGTATTGCAACAACTCTATGCAAGGCCAGTGCAGCGATGTCATCGCTCTCAATTAGAGGATTGATTCTTTATTATTCACCCTATACCCATCCCGTGAGCGGTGGTGGAAAGGGATACAAAGTCAAGTAGAGGAATATGAAAAGTTCCACAACACACAACATTTCCAATCTTTAAACTGATTTCTTATTTTTGTCTATGATTATAATAATTGAAACGGCAATATAATTTAATTTATACTTATGTATATATAATAAAAAAACAGGTATTAGTATACATAATAATACTTGTTTTTTTTCTGTCTAGTATTGTAAAAAACTTTGAATACTAATTTAATGAGCTTTACATTTAAGTTTCCAGAAAACAATACATTCATGAATTACTAGAAAAAACATTTATTTACGTACGGAAAAAAACAATATTTTTTCACTGAGCTAAACATAGACAAGTGTATAGACTTGCAAGAACACAAGGCTGAAATAACCATGTGGAAGGCTGTATCCACCAGCCCGAGAGATGGATAAGGGGTTGATGCTGTACCCACCGGCCCGAGAGATGGATAAGGGGTTGATGCTGTATCCACCAGCCCGAGAGATGGATAAGGGGTTGATGCTGTATCCACCAGCCCGAGAGATGGATAAGGGGGTTGATGCTGTACCCACCAGCCCGAGAGATGGATAAGGGGTTGATGCTGTATCCTCCAGCCCGAGAGATGGATAAGGAGGTTGATGCTGTATCCACCAGCCCGAGAGATGGATAAGGGGTTGATGCTGTATCCTCCAGCCCGAGAGATGGATAAGGAGGTTGATGCTGTACCCACCAGCCCGAGAGATGGATAAGGAGGTTGATGCTGTACCCACCAGCCCGAGAGATGGATAAGGGGTTGATGCTGTACCCACCAGCCCGAGAGATGGATAAGGGGTTGATGCTGTACCCACCAGCCCGAGAGATGGATAAGGGGGTTGATGCTGTACCCACCAGCTCGAGACATGGATAAGGGGTTGATGCTGTATCCTCCAGCCCGAGAGATGGATAAGGGGTTGATGCTGTATCCACTAGCCCGAGAGAAATGATCAAGGGATTAAGACGACCTAAGAGCCCAGCATGCAGTCCTGTATTCTCCTCGAATAATTCATCGTTCCATTAACCCTATTCCAGCTTCTCTTCCTGTTGATGCTGCTCACACCCCCCCCCCCCCACCATCCCAACCTCCTCCTGCTGCTCTTAAGCCCCATCCCCTTCCATCTTCCTCACCACATCCTCTGTTTCCACATTCTCTTATCCTTCCTCTGACAACATCTAGCCATTACCACAAATCCCTTCACAAATGTATTTATGTTCTTGATGAAGCTGAGAGATCTACACCCACGTAACTCAATGTGTGGAGTCCGTACCCGCGCGTGCGTGCTTGCGTGTTCTCGGTCAACTATTACAACTATCAATCAACACACAATTCAACCATTCAAATCATCTTGTACAGGAATGTATTTATAAAAGACTAACAAAGGAGCCATGATTGAGGGAAAGACGTACAGGTTTGGTAGGCAAGTTGCGTAGCTGGGGCCAGATTCACGAAAGCACTTGCGCAAGCACTTACGAACCTGTACATCTTTTCTCAATCTTTGGTGGCTTTGTTTACAATTATTAAACAGTTAATGAACTCCGAAGCACCAGGAGGCTGTTTTTAACAATAACAACAGTTGATTGGCAAGTTTGCATGCTTGTAAACTGTTTAATAAGTGTAACCAAAGCCGTCAAAGATTGAGGAAAGATGTACACGTCCGTAAGTACTTGCGTAACTGCTTCGTGAATCTGGCCCCTGGTCGCTGTATCCCAAGTGCAAGACGTGTAGTGACACAGGTAAGTGTACAAGGCCTTGGTGTTGCAAGCTGTAACACCCAACGGTCACCAACATCAACAGTAAACAACAATATATACTATTCATTTTTCCCTTCAATTCATATTTTACTTATTAAAACCTATTACAATTATTGGTTTATTGTTATTAATCTTGTTTGTTCAGGTCACTGGTTAGAGTTTACTGTAAGGCTTGCAGTCAGAGGTACACTGGCTGTGTGCAGGTGTGTGTAGCAGTGAGGGAGTCACGTGTTATGCTACTCTGCTGTTGCTCGTTCATTGACCACATCTGTCTTATCTGTATTGTAAACATTATTACCATCACGTCATTGCTATTAGTAGCATGTTCAGCCAGTCATTACAGTTAAGATATTTACTTATATTGTCATACTCTTTAACGTTATCTATAAACCAAATTAATATATCAAGCGTCGAACTGCTGACCTCTAGGTATTCTCAGCCTCACTAATCATCGGTACGTACAAATATCTTCAACCTACAAACAGACTTGTAGGTATTATTTTACACCCAAAACCCTGTTACTGCTTTCTGTAGGCGAAGGGACGTCTGGCCAGTCATTAGTTAGACAAAGTGTCCACCCGAGGCACTCTGTATGGTGCTGGCCCAACCTCTCGAGGGTTGTTAAGGCCTATCAACCTCTGGAGGCTTGTTAAGGCCTCCACAATTGCTTACCGAGCAACCAGCACAAATACTGTAGTCGTCAACATAGTTCAGGACTTAAGCAAACTCTGGGTGTATATTGAGAGCGAAGCGAGCCACACATCTCGGTTTATGAGTCGTGTGACTTGTCGTATATCAGCCTGTATACTCACCGTGATGTATACCAGGTGGTCCTAGGCGTGGACAGAGCAAACCCCCTAACGTAAGGAAATTATATTTAAACAAGCGGAAAGCTATCTACTTAAGGTAGATAAGTTCCCAATATACAGTGTCGTGAATGAATTAAAAAGTCACAAATTTCTATGACCTTACCAAGTCAATCATTACTCGAACCTTTTCTCAAAGGTTCACACAACAGGTAATGCTGTCAATAACAACTTCCATTCTAACATTCATATTAATTTCCACAACGACAAATTATTCTTAATCTTGCCTTTGGGCGTAGTCTTCCTTAGTTAACTCAAGCCACAACCTAACTCTTGCTAATCCCAAGGCACTCTGCCCTCCGCTGATTGACGTAATCTCCAGCAAGCAACCCGTCCTCGACTCAAGTCCATTACATCCAGCGGTCGACATCATAGACGCATTCATACATTTTTACATGCTGGTCATTCAAAATAGTAATTTTCTCAAATATAAATTAATATTATAATATATTAGCATATTGTGCATATATAGGCATAGGTTAGGTTAGGTGTTTAGGTTCTGTTCGCGATTATTTGTATTTGTAGTATGTGAGTGACATTTATAGCGTTGTGGTTCGAACAAAATTCGTCAGTGAAACACTTGTTCCGGAAGTGTTCGAACGAAATCAGTTGTGAGTCGTGTGCAAACAGTTTTTTATTCATAAACAGGGGGTTTGGCGGGTGGATGGAATCACTTTTGGGTCTTTGTTTGGAGAACGGGCTGGCGGTCACACACCAGCCCGTTCTCTCAGGCGTTCCCAATGTCAGTAAATGGTATCACTAAATTGCCCGAACCTAACCTACCCGAGGGCCCACGAACAGAAAACGGGACATCGCATAAATTTCGCGAGCCGCTACCACTTTTAATACATCAGTTTTTGGCCTTAGGGAAATTAAAGGTCCAAATGCGATGTAGTGTTCAGGATAGTGTGTTACACTCTCACTCACTCACTCACACGCACACACACTGGGTGCTGGAAAGTGCTGGGAAGACAGGACACCACGAGCGTAGCTCTCATCCTGTAACTACACTTAGGTAATTACACACACACACACACACTCTCTGTCTCTCACTCTCTGTCTGTCTCTATATGTCTGTCTCTGCCTGTCTCTCTCTCTGTCTCTGGCCAACAATCGTGGCAGCCCGTGAGCCAACAACACAGCCTCGGGCAATACTGTCCGAGCTCCACCCGACACAAACACACTTTCGTCAATTAAAATATAAAGTGCATTCAAAATCCTTATTTTCCCAGTACCAAGTAAAATTATTATATATTATAACTTACTGTATAATTAGCCGTATAATATGTTAGGTTAAGGTGTTTAGCTTCTGTTAGCAATTATTCGCATTTGTAGTACGTGAGCGAAGCATTTACTGAAGTGCGATTCGAGCAGTGGATGTGAGTGAAATTCAAGCGTCATCAGTTGAGAGTTGTATTTGACGAAGTGTTTTTACGTACATAAATAGGGGACCTGGCGGCTCAGCCCGTCCTCACATACAAAGATCCAAGCTCGTTAATCCAGCCACCAAACCCACTGATTATGAATGAAAAGCAGTTTATACACGAATCACAACTGATGACGTCCGAACAATTCCGAAACATGTGCTTTGCTGCAACTCTACTCCAATCCATTACATCCAGTGGTCGACCCTACAGGCGCATTCATAAATTTGTACATGCTGTTCATTCAAAACGGGAATTTTCTCAAATATAAATTAATATTATAATATATTAGCATATTGTGCATATATAGGCATAGGATAGGTTAGGTGTTTAGGTTCTGTTAGCGATTATTTGTATTTGTAGTACGTGGGTGAAGCATTTATAGCGTTGTGGTTCGAAGAAAATTCGTCAGTGAAGCACTTGTTCCAGAAGTGTTCGAATGTCAGCAGTTGTGAGTCGTGTGTAAACCGTTTTTTATTCATAAACAGGGGGTTTAGCGGGTGCATGGAATCCCTTTTGGGTCTTTGTTTGCAGGACTGGCTGTTTGCTGACGTCTTTTGTTCGAACTACAAAGTTGTAAATGCTTCACCCACGTACTACAAATACAAAAAATCGCCAACAGAACCTAAACACCTAACCTAACCTATCCCTATATATGCACAATATGCTAATATATTATAATATTAATTTATATTTGAGAAAATTCACGTTTTGAATGAACAGCATGTACAAATTTATGAATACGCCTGTTGGATCGACCGCTGGATGTAATGGACTTGAGTCGAGGACGGGTTGCACATTGTTTCCCAAACGTAATCATTTACATGTTTACATTAAATTTCATCTGTTCATTCCAAAGACACCAACGATGTTCCGGAACCAGTGTTCAATTTTAAGTTCATTAACCGTCTATTGAGGTCATGTAACACATACTTTTTGTCTGAATATATTACCTATTTTTAGTGTCATCGGCAAGTTTACTAAATGTGTTGTTTACTATGTTTATAAATCATTTACGTATATGATAAACAATACAGGTCCCAGGACAGAGCCTTGCGGCACTCCACTTGCTACCGTTCTTACTACTGTTGACGGTGTTTCCTGTGCAGTAGCTATGCAGTCATCCAATTTAAGAGGTTCACTCGAATACCATGCGCCTTATTAGTAATCTGTAGGTATAGTAAGTCTCCACTCTTACTTGTAGTTATTGTAAGTGCAACAAGTGACATATAGGCATCGTCTCACTGCTTGCGTCAAGAAGTTAATTGCAACAGTTACTCCTCCACATCACAGATTTACTTACGACATGTCCCCCTGCGTCAATATGGTTACTTACAACAGCAGCCCTATGCGTCACTGGTTTACTTACGATAGCTGTTCTCTACATCACAAATTTACTTACGACAGTTGTCCTCGTCATCCCAGGTGAGGGGGCACTGGACCTCTCCGTCACACAACATGGTGGGGGGCAGGCAGGGTCCAGACCCACACTGGTACAGTCCAGCGCCACACTTCTCCGCTGCAACACCAGGAGGGAGGGGAGACAAGGGCAGTACAAGTGTTATAACACTGGGATGGATGTTGACATTCTTTTTGATGTGACCGTTATCCAGATTGCATGGTAGGGGAGGAAGAGAGAGAGGAAGGGAGAGAGAGAGAGAGAGAGAGAGAGAGAGAGAGAGAGAGAGAGAGAGAGAGAGAGAGAGAGAGAGAGAGAGAGAGAGAGAGAGAGAGAGAGAGAGAGAGAGAGAGAGAGACATATATAGAGCAAGAGAGTCGCAGTGAACCTAGCAATTTCGTGCAACAGCTATAGTGGCTGTGTTCCTTACGTTAAATCCTCCTGGTAGATTCTGGTAGTGAACATTTTGAGCCATTGTAAACAAACCAGTCATTAACATATTTACGACTACCCTTTAAGACATGATACTCACAGCAGTTGAAGAGATGTGAGGAATCTGCACAAGCGCGCCTGGGGTTGATGGAGGCGTCGCATTTGACCAAGAGTGGCGCGCACTGGCCACTCGCGCACTCGAACTCGTCAGAGCCACACCTCTCCGGCCGTGCTGACGGAGTACACACACACACACACACCTGTAGCTTCACACCTACACAGGTTATATACATAACAATAGAAATTGATATAGACCTACCAGTGGTATCCTCAGAAATACAGTATACTATCCTGGGTCATTCATTAATGTCTTTCAATACCTTTGTTATTGCGAAATGTCGAGGAAGATTAGTTTCCTAAACGTTTACCACTATCGTAATTGGTTTACAATACATCGTTCAGGTCACGAGGTCCAAACTTTCCCCCTTTATAAGTACACATAAATATGTGGACAAGACCTTAATCCTCTTAGGGAAGGTAGTTAACAGGAGAAAGCACTAAGTCCGTATGACTATATATCAATTAAAAGGGATATGTGGACAAGTTGTAATAAGAGGACGGAGTGAAGGAACAGTGCCCTACCACTTACACCATCGGGAATCGAACACCGACTCTGTAAGAAGTTAGGCCGTTGCTCTACCAACGAGTCGAAGCCGATGCCCAATATAATCTTCCAAGTGTTCTATTCCGACAAGAATACAATACTGTAAACCTACACATAACCAATGATTGGGTATAAAGTATTGGGTATACAGCATTGGGTATACAGTATTGGGTATACTCGCAAACCGGTGATTTTATCCGACGTATAAAACACTGACAGTCTCTAAATAATCCTTAAAAGGTATATTCAACTTACATTTAAATGGGAAAGGAGGTTAGTGGGTAATATTAAGGGTTGGAGCGACCAGGGACGAGAGTTCGATGCCTTCGCACTGCTCCAAAAGAGGTAAAGTAATTTTAAGGAGAAACTTCTATGTTTTCCCTCGTAGATACATCACGCTAGTGTGGTTTTCATTGTGCATAACCCATATAGGTTTAAAATGTTGTATGGCAACAATTTAATATAAATACATCTATAGGATTTTTGGTTCTTAAAAAATAAGGTTAGAATACATAAATATATTCTTTGGTGAAAGTCCACTTTAGAAAGACTCCAAAGGCTTTATAAAATTGTTAAGGGAAGGAACTGCTCATACAGCGTAAAAGATTTACATATGAAAAGCCAGTTGGTCGGAATTCCCTCTTCAGACAGGTAAATATCACCCATGAGTATATAGCGAAATATAATAAAATATTAAAGTAAATAAAATAAGTAAAAATCTAAGAAAAAAAAAAGATTTACACCATTTTAAAATCACAGAAAACTTAACAAGTACAAAATGTCCAGGTTTAATAATGGAACAACGTGTGTTGGAGACAAAAGGGTTATACAGGGTTGCAGTCTCCGTGGCGTAGTGGTAAGACACTCGCCTGGCGTTCCGCAAGCGCTTTGTCATGGGTTCGTATCCTGGCCGAACCCATGACAATCTTTAACTGTAGCCTCTGTTTAACTCAACAGTAAAATGGGTACTTAGTTGTAAAAACGATTCTTGGCGGGGGTCGTATTCCAGGGACCATAGGATTAAGGACTTGCCCGAAACGCTACACGTGCCAGTGGCTGTACAAGAATGTAACAACTATTGTATATATAAAATAAAACATAAAATAAAATACATACATGCCAGCAATACTGGTTCTCCAGAGTAATACTCGACCCGCCTCATGACACATGAGTATCATAAAGATGCTTCTGAATAAACTCCTTCAATGTGAATCTATTGTGTTGAAAACTGTCTGGAAACCGCTCAAGTTACGCCATAAGAAAAAACTTAGGGGACATATAAATTCTCAAATTTTAATTAAGAAAATAAGAGAAGAGAATATACATATAAGTAATTGCAGTCAATAATCAGCAGGCGTACCAACATTGGTGGGAAGGCGACCAGAACGCAGCAGGAATACCAACACCGGCGAGGAAGGTGGGGGAGGATGCAGCAGGAGTACCAACACCGGCGAGGAAGGTGGGGGAGGATGCAGCAGGAGTACCAACACCGGCGAGGAAGGTGGGGGAGGACGCAGCAGGAGTACCAACACCGGCGAAGAAGGTGGTGTGGACGCAGCAGGAGTACCAACACTGGCGAGGAAGGTGGTGGAGGACGCAGCAGGGGTACCAACACTGGCGAGGAAGGTGGTGGAGGACGCAGCAGGAGTACCAACACCGGCGAGGAAGGTGGGGGAGGACGCAGCAGGAGTACCAACACCGGCGAGGAAGGTGGGGGAGGACGCAGCAGGAGTACCAACACCGGCGAGGAAGGACGCTGGTGTTCATGTAATAAACTAATGAGCTCCAGCTCTCTCTTGACTTCATGCCAGAATTCAATTACCTGTAATTAATGGAATCGGGAGACAGACGCGCACACGTATCTTCCAGACCCTTCACCACTACAGGTGTCTGACGCACGACGTATTGACACGACACTTGAGAACACCAGACCCTTCACCACGACAAGTGTCTGACGCACGACGTATTGACACGACACTTGAGAACACCAGACCCTTCACCACGACAAGTGTCTGACGCACGACGTATTGACACGACACTTGAGAACACCAGACCCTTCACCACGACAAGTGTCTGACGCACGACGTATTGACACGACACTTGAGAACACCAGACCCTTCACCACGACAAGTGTCTGACGCACGACGTATTGACATGACACTTGAGAACACCAGACCCTTCACCATGACAGGTGTCTGGCGCACGACGTATTGAGGCTTATTATCTTCACTGCACCACGACGAGGAGGCGGTGGTATGAGAAGAGGAGGAAGGTAATGAGAGGTATGAGAGGCAGAAAGGATAGCAGGAGGAGGAGAAATATGAGATCTAAAACCCCCGTACCGAGCTTGAGTAGGCTTCAGCCATACTGGTCAGTGACAGTCAACTTTATCTCTCTCTCTTTATTATATTATGTTCTTCATTTGGGATGTTAAACTCTCCAAAGTTAATTTTACAGTTCTACGTGTCGCTAAATGACGCATTTTGCTGAAGCTCTCTTCATCCTCTTCGGAGGCAGAAAGTTAACCCAAAGTAGCGGGTTTAACAGTAGAATGTCTATATATATACCATGTAGGATGAGGGGAAGTGTTACCTAGCCGAGGATAGGTGGCACTCTTGTCATGCATTCTCATGGCACTTCTTTCTTGGTCTTATAGATGGTAGAAAGTACCTAAACTAAACTAAAGGGAATAGTTGAATGAAAATGTTTGATATGAAGTGCTTCGGCTATGTCCAATACCTTATTGTTGTATCTGTCGATTATTGTGTTGTCAAGATATCTCTCGTGAAGATCTGACTGAAATTATGTCACCTTTGATAGAGCCTTTTAGTTTGTGTATTGTTAGGAGCCTTGAGAGAGATGTTGACGTCTTGCCTGTATATTGAGATCGTTGGGATTGACAGTCCGCATGTAGGCATGTAAAGTCTCTTTCAAAGCGTTTTGCTTGGTGTCGGGAGTAAGTAGACACTAACAAGCTCATGAAGAACTCTCGACAGTATACGGAACACCTTCAATAACTCCAGCTAAAGACACGCCACCCACAACACATGCAAATTCAATATACGCTACTCACACCCCCCGCAGCAACCCTAACACCCCCCCCAGCAGGTAACAGTAGGTGCTCACCACAGCTGGCCTCGTCGGAAGCATCAGGACAGTCAGGGATCCAGTCACACCACTGCTGCTCCGGGAGGCACTGTCCCCCGCCACACTTCCTGTAGCCCGGCTCGCACCCTACCTTGCCTGAGAGAGAGAGAGAGAGAGAGAGAGAGAGAGAGAGAGAGAGAGAGAGAGAGAGAGAGAGAGAGAGAGAGAGAGAGAGAGAGAGAGAGAGAGAGAGAGGAGAGAAGTAAACCAAAGTTTAAGTTCTCTTTATTGTTCATAATGACCAATATACAAAATATAATATGTTAATACATACCCAGACAAATAGATGTGATATATATTAATAATTATTAGCATAAATGAAAATATCGTTGAAAACAGATTATATACATATACTATAACAAATATACTCCTTAAAAATTTATACTGGTCCAAGCAAATTTTTACCCGAAAACATGTAAATTCAGAGTAAATTACCATTTACACTGTCGGAAACAACAGACAGAGCAGGCAACAAAATAATGTTTTACGTGCGAATATTCGGTTAAAACAAAGGAGACATTGCCCCGACAGAGCAAAGGTTTACAGAGATAAAAGCCTTCAAAACAAAGGATGTTTACCTACCGCAATTGACCTCGTCTGACTGATCATAGCACTGATATTGGAGGTCACAGCGAGCGACGGCAGGGATACACTGGCCGCTCGCACACTGCCACTCAGAACTGCTGCACTCAGATCGTGCTGTAGAGACAACACGGACTCTATTACTGCCCACTTATTGAAACGTGTTTACAAGAAGCAATGAAGAAAGCCATGAGTATAGGCACATCAGTTCTGGACCGATGATTATAGCTCAACCCAAAGAAGGCACGAGGTAAAGCATACGGTCCAGGTAGTAACGAGGTAGGGGGTTGCAATAGTGTTGAGTTTAGATTGATGATTGATGAAGATTAAGCCACCCAAAAGGTGGCACGGGCATGAATAGCCCGTAAGTGGACGCCCTTTTGAGCCATTACCAGTATCAATAGATGATACTGGAGATCTGTGGAGGTGCGACTGCACCCTGCGTGACGGGAGATGTCTCCCATCCTGTTGAGTTCAAGCTTGACATTACATTTATACTCAAATGCAAGACTACTGAGGTATTAAATATTGCAACACATGGATATAGAAACGAAACTTTCTTATTAATATTGCTTGAACTTAGAGCTTGGGCAGTAAATACACTCAACATCGACATATGTCAAAGATAACTCCGTCAGGCGGTATGTTAAAAGTTTCCCACAAAGTGACTGGCTTACACAGTCGCACTTCTCAAGTACTAGTTCTAGAATATTTGAACATCTGGTATTCTGAAATATGTAGACGCAAGTTTCCTCAAGTGACCTATCGCACTCACTGATAATTGTTACACATGTAGTCTCTAAATACAAATAATACAATTAAATACAAGTATACAAGTAATCTTTGTTACACAAGTAAGTTTTGCAGGCGATGAGTCACAATAACGTGGCAGAAGTATGTTGACCAATCCACACACTAGAAAATGAAGGGACGACGACGTTTCGGTCCGTCCTGGACCATTCTCAAGTCGATTGACGACTTGAGAATGGTCCAGGACGGACCGAAACGTCGTCGTCCCTTCATTTTCTAGTGTGTGGTTTGGTCAACAAGTAAGTTTTGCTCACAACCCCTCATAAACACGAAGTTATAATATGGGTAACCAATATCAATATGCTGTGAGCCTTTCCACTTAAGAGAAGCAATTTGATGTGGGACTCGGATGGTAATATCTTGCCTCGATGAACTGTGCGGGCAATATGATCAATATTTCCACCTGGCTTCTCTCCTACCAGTGAGCCACGAATATATCTCATGCTTCATAACCGCCAGCTCCAACCACAGTGTCCTAACCCAACCTACGCCTAACTATACATAGAGCTTTAATATAAAATAATATTAACTCATAAGAACAAACCAAATGTTAACACACAGAATGTTAACATTTAAAAAATGCGTCTTCTTGGACAACCGTAGCTTTAACGAGCCTGGTCTGAGGACAGGTTGGTATGTAATGCAGTTTTCATTCATAAACAAACGGGGGTTTACGGCTGGATTAATGAACATTTGACTTTTCTTGATGAGGACGGGCTGCCCCATTGGTGTTTATGTGTAGCCTTGTCAGCGTGACTACGTTCGAAACTACGGCTCGAGACGTGCTTCACACACTTGCAGCCCGTGAACACATCTAATGAACACATCTACACTGTGAACACATCTAATGTCAACCGCATGAAACCCAACGCATCATCAACAAAAGGTCCGCCAGGTCCACAACGTATAAGCCAAATACTGACTACAACAAACCCTATATATAGGTCAGTATTTGGACTTAAAAGAGTCCCGTTAGCCACGTTCGAGCCGATGACTTCAAACATGCTACTTCGTTGACCTTGAGCCTGCAGTGTAAACACTCCCTAAACCGCTCGGACAAGGCAGCTGGAAGCTGACTGTGAATGAGCAGCAGTGCCAGACGGGAGGGGGTGTTGCAGGCTGTGCTCCCCTAACTTCCCCGGTAACTACATAAAATAGGAGTTGATGCAATATTTTTTATCAAAGAACCCTGCAGTAAACAACTTTACACCTCAAAGCTTTAGTTTCACTGCCATATAAATAAATAAATAAATAAATTAGCCAATATATATATATATATATATATATATATATATATATATATATATATATATATATATATATATATATATATATACATATACTGTACATATACTGTACATATACTGTAAATATATATCAAGAAAGATATAGGCACAACATTTTTGCTGGTTTATATTCAATATCTATGAATATAATTCTACAGAAAAAAAAGTATGGATATATATCATCAGTAGTAAAAAAAAACAAATATCAATTACTTTAACATAAAACAGGCCTCCATCACCTGCCAAACAAATCAGGAATATGTACCCACTTGTTTAACTCCCAAGACGTTCACCTCAGGCTCGTGACGAAAGGAAAACGGGAACAGGTTAAGTATTGACTCACAGCAGTTGTGTTCGTCGTCGCCGTGAAGACAGTCGTACTTGTGGTCGCAGCGGAGGGTTGAGGGGAGACAGCGGCCGTCACCACACCGGAACACCTCCTCTCGCTCCCCGTCACACCTCGCCTCCCCTGTAACACGTACCTCGTTTATATCAACCGCCAACATGTTCAATACCAACACGGCGTTTATGCTATCAAAGTTATGAATGGAAGGACATGTTAGAGGTGTACTAGGGGTTCATACTAGCCCCCCGCATTAATTTGTGTCATATTGATGAACCGATGATTCACCAATTTAATGATTGTGAAAAGGGTTCGTTCACCATGCTACCATTAGCAATTATGTGGTCCTTTGCTGATCACTCGACTGCTTCTTGCGTGCTAGAAATACAATGTTACGTCAACTGACTGTAACCTGTAAGTTGAGCGTGCGTATATTTCCTGTAACCTGAATATTAAGGTTACTTATATTTACTGTAACCAAACTGTTGAGTAATTAACCAGGAAGACAGTGATGCCGTCATCTTGAAAGAACGAACAGTGGCTTGACTGTGTTCGGTTTGGGAGAATACATCACAATGTACAAGACATCTTCAAGTATATCTCAGTTTCTCTAAGACGTATTTTTTTTTTAAGATTTGTAATGTTTTATATATACTAAATATGGTGTTGTCATTATAAGACTTGACTGTATTCTTCTTCAAATAATCTTTAACTGTGGAATCCTATTGAAAAAGGTTTTGGATGTAGTATTGGATTGTCTCTTCCCTTCCCCCTTTCAGCGACTGACAGCTTAATAATAGCTCAAATACCGGGGAAAATAAAATCACTTTACCAGAAACTTCACCACAATCAATACCACACAACGAACACCCACAACACAATACCAACACCACCATAATACCAACAACCTCAACACAATACCAACACCACCATAATACCAACAACCACAACACAATACCAACACCACCATAACACCAACAACCACAACACAATACCAACACCACCATAACACCAACAACCACAACACAATACCAACACCACCATAACACCAACAACCACAACACAATACCAACACCACCATAACACCAACAACCACAACACAATACCAACACCACCATAACACCAACAACCACAACACAATACCAACACCACCATAACACCAACAACCACAACACAATACCAACACCACCATAACACCAACAACCACAACACAATACCAACACCACCATAACACCAACAACCACAACACAATAATAACTACATCACAATCCTTAACAATTACAACGAGTAAAATGATACACCATTAATTACAGTACTAACACGAGTACAAGCAAAAGCACTAGGAACAAGGTGGCCAGGGACAATGGAGCAACAGAACAAGGCGGCCAGGAACAACGGAGCAACAGGAACAAGGCGGCCAGGAGCAATGGAACAAGATGAACAAGGTGCCGAGGAACAATGGAACAAGAGGAACAAGGTGGCTAGGAACAATGGAACAAGAGGAAACCCTAAGGAGTCAACACGCCCGGTTGTCTCAGACATAGAGGACACAAGAGCACTAAGAGAGAGAGAGAGAGAGAGAGAGAGAGAGAGAGAGAGAGAGAGAGAGAGAGAGAGAGAGAGAGAGAGAGAGAGAGAGAGAGAGAGAGAGAGAGAGAGAGAGAGAGACCTTCACTGATACATCTCACTCTTGATAGCGTCGCCGCCTTCCAGCTGTGTTTACATCCAAGGTTATTATTTTCTGTATTCTCACCCGCCATTAACACCAAACATGCAACAATAGTACACAAAACTTGAAGTAATGGTACATGAAATTTGCAACAATAGTGCAGCATACTAGCCCTAAAATTTAGCTAAACATGAAACAATATCTTATCACTATAAGCCAAAAAGGCATTGTATCGAGGTTAGTTAACAAAAAGCGTAGCGCCATCTATAAGGTAAAAACTCAGGCTTAGTAATTCCGTGATGTTCAGTCTGAAAATAATACGCTTTACCCAGAATTTCTTCATGAAAGCAAGACAAAAATTAAACTCGAAGAATGTCAAAGACCATAACGTTTCATGTAATATTTTTGTCTGGAACAGACGCCGTGGAGGAAACATTCAGCGTGAACTGAAACATTTTGCTCTAATAAAATTGAGCTTCACAAAATTGGTTGGACACTGAGCACAGTGACGTCGACTATAAAATGCAAGCATATCATCTTATTAAATTTAGAAAAATATAATTTTGATATGACAGAGAAGATGAGAGAGTGGCCAAGTTGAGTGTGTGTGTGTGCGTGTGTGTGCGTGTAATTACCTAAGTGTAGTTACAGGATGAGAGCTACGCTCGTGGTGTCCCGTCTTCCTAACACTCTTTGTCATATAACGCTTTGAAACTACTGACGGTCTTGGCCTCCACCACCACCTAACCTAACTTGTTCCAACCGTCTACCACTCTGTTTGCGAAAATGAATTTTCTTATATTTTTTCTTTTTCTTTCTTTTTAGTAGTGTGTGTGTGTGTGTGTGTGTGTGTGTGTGTGTGTGTGTGTGTGTGTGTGTGTGTGTGTGTGTGTGTGTGTGTGTGTGTGTGTGTGTGTGTGACTGCAGTGTGTCAAACAAAGAATGAACAGGCATGTGTGTGACCATTGTTTGACAAAATGATGTCTGCAGGCCCTTTCCCCCGGAAATGGCCCAGGTAATAAGGGATTGCAGATGCAAAGCTGTTTCTTTTATACTACGGACTGCGTTGTGTTGCCGCGTATGTGTTCAGCTGGCCTGAACATCAAGGTCATTATTATATTACATACAAGGCAATGTATCATTGTCTTTTGCTCTTAAAATACATAGTGTGTTACGTTGCGCTTGTTTCCGGTAATCCTGGCAACTCTGAAAAAGCATTCACATTTAACAGGACATAGATATCCAACACTATATGCTCATGACCCACAAAGCCTTTCGTCAACATCATAAACATAACACCCTTCACCATCACTATACAGCTCACAACACAGTTCACCATCACTATACAGCTCACAACACCCTTACTGACAAGATCCTCCACCACATGACCCATTGCCAACACCATAACCAACCCTCTCTACCAAATACTAGCATCATCACAGTGCGTACCCTGGAGCAGAGCACGTGAGCACGTGTAGCACCCTCAGGGCACGTGAGCAGCCTCAGAGGACGTGCAGCAACACTCACCACAGCCCGTCTCGTCGGAGAGGTAGCCGCCATTGTGGCAGTCGTTGGTGCCGTCGCAGACGTAGGTGGGGGCGATGCACCTGTCGAGGACACGGTCGAGGCTGGCCACGGAGCAGGTGAGTGAGGCGCCCACCTCACACACCCTCACACCTGTAGAGAAACTCCACCACATTCCTCACAAACTTCACTGCCTTGCCTAAACACGCTAAGAATTTTCAATATACAATCAAAAGCATATTTTTGCCCTTTTAAACCTCTTCCGAAATCTGCCACAAGTTTGAGAGTTATATATTGAAACATTTTCCAATCTTTTTACTATAGAATTTTTTTTAACAGACATATACATTTGTTACATTAAACACTGCACAGTATGACAAAAACTAGCGCCTATCCCTGAGGTCATAGTACTTATAGCAACTATTTGGCCAAATGGGAAACATTTCTAACCTCAACAAAAATATTAAACCTAACCCAACCTGTCCTAACCATTCTAGGCCTAATACACGCTCTTTAAGGCAAAATATAGTTCATATATGTGCTATACTAGGCCTAAGAATGTTTATGTTTGGTTTTCAGCTTTATGTTTCCCGGACGTTTATAAATTTAAAAGAACAAAATGGGACTACAACTGCTACAATAAATCAGAAATTAGCACACACATAAAACAAAGTATAAATAAGGGTTTTGAACCTTTTTATTTTTGTTGTTCAGTTCAAATATCGAATAGCAAACAATAAACTATTTACTATAGAGGAATTTAAGCCATTCTGTCACTGCTTGAAATAAGAGCCCCGTACCGTCAGTGACGGTGTAGGTGGAGTCTGTACAGTTGACCTCGTCAGCACAGTCAGGAAGACAGTCACAGTGGGAGTCACAGACGTTGCTGACCAAGATGCAGCGGGTGTTTGGGCACTCAAACTGGCTCTCTGGGTCACACTCCCCACCTGCGGGACACACCTGGTGTTAGCACAATATATTACACAGAGCCTTGACACTATAAGATGTATATTACCTTGACACTAAAGTATACGCATGATCTTGACTGTACAGGAGACACATGCCACTAAAGGAATACTATGACTATGACATTAAGGGATACACATAACTGTCTCTAAAGCATACATATGGCATTGGCATTACAGGATATATATGGTATTGGCGCTACAGGATTCAAATTACTTTGCTCTAGTTCATACTGACGATTGCACTTCAATATTAACATATACATGAAAAGAAATGCCGACTGCTACAAGACTCATTAATTCCCAAGTTGCAGCCACATTATCCTGGGGTGGATGATGAAAAATTATATTTCTTGCAGAGAAAACACAGACCATGATCATGACTAGACTCCATGACTGTGAACCTATTAATGCCATATGGATGGGTGGAATAAATCTAGTGTTTGGCGATGAAATTACACTCTTCAATGACAATGAAAAGTCACGTGTTGAATGTTGCAAGTAAGACAGCCAAGAAATTTGCAGCTTAAGGCGCATTTCATACATTCTCGACGGCAGAGGTTGGAAAACTTTACAGTTAGCAAACATCTTGAGTATGCACCACGTTTATGCGGCCTGACTTCCTATCATTTATCCAAATTTACGACACAGTAGTGAACTTTAACTTTGAGCACTAAATAGAGTTCATTCCCAATAGAACCAAATAATAAGCTTATCAAACAAATGAGTGCTATGGTCAGGTTTCAAATGAGCTCGTGTAGGATACTAGCTCTTTGGCTTGCAGTTCAGTAGGAGCATCAGTGACACTCCTAATGAACCCTAGTCATAGATTAAGTAAAGCAACAAAGAGCTGACTACGATAATACCATCTTTCATCCCTTGACACGAGAATATACAGCACTTATCTCTCTGTCTAAGACAGGGAAGTGTAAGGCGCACCGAGATAGACAGGTTGCTAAATTGCAATTTCAGCCCCTGACAAGATAATAGTATTTAACTCCATATAATGTGAAAAATAAGTTTTTTTTACAATAACTCCAGCCAAATTTTAGTTATAATAATAATTATAATAATAACAATAATAATAAATAATAATAATAATAATAATTTCAAGATAAACTCTTAACTAGTGACACGTAAAATAATAATAATAACTAACCAAATGAGAATACATACATAAAATAGTAGTAACAACAGTCTTGTTGATCCGCATAGACAATTCCTGATGGACGGAAATAGCTTCAAATTAGCGTGAATGAAGAACATCTTTCCCTAAGCTGTGCATCAGCAAAATTTCCCCCCGGCACGGAAGATCGATCCTCAGACTTTGTACACACGTCGAGGGATTAGCGAGTTCGTTAAGAGCTTCCACTGACCATTAGAAAGCTATTGGGCAGCGCTTAGCGTTATTCCTCTAGTTGTTTTGCAACCACCTGGATTAGAGTTGGTCCTGGGCTTCTAAGGTGTTGTTGTTCCCGTGTAGACTCGCTTTGGCGTGCTAGGGACAGCTTTGTGATTGTAGTAAGTCCTGTAGGAAGTTAGTAAGTAAGTCTTTGTAGTAAGTCAGTCCTGTAGTAATGTCTCCCTTGTAGGTAAGTCCTCTCACCTGGCGTGGGAAATCTAACATGTGAACGTGGGAGATATCAAGGTCTTGGGGCCGTTCATCTTTATCAACATCTCGTGTTCTTTCTGCACTCACACACACACACACACATACACACACACACACACACACACACACACACACACACACACACACACACACACACACACACACACACACACACACACACACACACACACACACATATATAGATATACACATGCATACAAGCATACAAACATTCACATATATGGATGCAAATGCACAAACACATGCACATCAACACTTGTACAAGCACAGGTCTAAATGCACACACATACACACACATGTTTAGACAGCTATTACGGGCTGTTTCCTGTGTGTGGGTGTGTGTATATGTGTGGAAAAACAAAACAAAAAATAATTAGTTAGTAGTTAGTAACAGTTGATTGACAGTTGAGAGGCGGGCCGAAAGAGCAGAGCTCAACCCCCGCAAGCACAACTAAGTGAATACACATGTACAGACTTGTACAAATACACATACGCATGTACAAACTCATGAACACACACACATTTACATGTACAGACACACACATGCAAAAACATACAGAAAAACATGCAGAAACATAACGACATACACATTTACAGACACTACTCATTTAGATAGAAACAATACACTCGTAATTATCATTACCAAATCCTTACATTAAAAACACACTTTGTTTAAGTTCCACCTGAGTTTCTGTATCTAATGCCGTTCAAGTATTTGTGAGTGTTGTTTATGTTTATTTATTTGTTTACGCGCCATACATGTTTTTAAATACGTCACACAGGTTCTTAAACATGTCACACATGTTTTCAAACGCGTCACACATGTTTTCAGACGCGTCACACATGTTTTTAAACACGTCAGACATGTTTGTAGAGGCCTCATATGTGTTTTTATGGCTTCATGTTTGTTTTAATACTTTAATGTTTTTAAAGGGGCTCACATATGTTTTTGAAATGCTGTGCATGTTTAATTTAAGCCAAATTGTGAAAATAATTAATTTCTAAATGAACTGTAGAGGAAAATATAATTTACATAACCTTGGGAGAACTCGATATATTCCTCACTCCCTCAAAGCATATTATCGAGGTACGAAAGGCCAAATAATTTCCGTATTAGAATTTATGATGTAGGCGGAAATTAATTAAAAAAACTGGGAGCGCCTCATACAGATTCCAAATATTAAATAACCAAATACCATATGTATATTATATATATATATTCTCTGTCAGAAATAATCCTGGCATTCTGTGCCCAGCTTCCCAGTGGGAAACATAATAAAACAAATGTCTGCCTTTTGGTTCTTGTAAAAACCGGACGAGGATATTGCATGTCCTATACAAGAGGCACAGCAGGAGGTAGATAAGGTGAGGGATTCTCCCTCAGTCCTCGTCCCCTCTCAGTTACAGCTCCGCTCCTGTGCCAGGTAAGTCCACTACGGGTTCACCATAGCCCGTGCTACTGGGAACTTTTTGTTCCCAGTAGCTGAATCTTAAACAACAACAACCTTAGTCCTGGTAAGGCGCGCTCTCTCTCAGTCCTGGTGACTCTCTCAGTCCTGGTGAAGAGTTATTCGTCAGTTACCATGTTTGATCACCATGAAAGCACCATCTTTCCTCATCACAAGGAACACAAGCCTAAGACTCACCAACTCCAAACTCTCTGATAGTTTACACGTATACTTGTGGCGAGGGACCCGTAGGTTAATCTTAGCATCGTCCGACTTAGAGCTCCCAATATACATGGGATGTCGTCAAATCCTATTAAGGCTTCGGCCAACCAATCCATACTGCATACGGATTCGAGTTTGGTTATATCGAGAAGTGGTGCCGCGACTCTCTGCTTGGCCTTTTACATTTTATCTTTCATGTTTTAACGCTCAAATAAAGCGGGGTAAGTTACTGTACTAGTATGATGTACAAAATAACCTGAACTATATTCCATCTCGGATTTGTGTGTGTGTTCATCCGCGTATATTGTGTATTCTATATCCAAACATTTATTGTGAGCCACAGCAAAACTTATACATGAAAAGAGGAATAGGAAAGCAAAATTGCCACAGACTAGGGAATACCACGGACTTTGACTGAAAAATGTATGATTCTGAGGCTATAGGTAATGATGATAGAGCCACCAGCTATCAGCGCCATAGTGTTGATACTGGGAAGTCTGAAAGCCATGCTTGTCATGGAAGCTGCGGACTGTAGGCTTCACGGGGACCTGGTTGTCACAGAAGCAACGGCTTCACGTGCATCTAGTTACCATGGAAACCACGGACACTAAATTGAAGTAAAAGGGACGACATATTTTGTAACAACTTAGTTACGGTGAATATACGGGGTTACTATTGACGACGGGTTGCAATTGATGACGGGTTGACACTTCCGCCAGGTTTGATACACTGTAGAAAGCTGCTTTGTTACAGAAGGCAGCAACTGCCACACCACCGTTGTAACATAGGATAATAATAGATCCCCTGGCAGGTGAGGTAACCATTAGGAGAGGGGAGAGAGAGAGAGAGAGAGAGAGAGAGAGAGAGAGAGAGAGAGAGAGAGAGAGAGAGAGAGAGAGAGAGAGAGAGAGAGAGAGAGAGAGAGAGAGCTTGCTAAAGCATACAATTAAGCTGGTGACCCCAGAACAGAAAGCTTTCTGGCCTAGCCTCATGACCCAAGCTGCAGGTAACCAACTGTCCTCATAATTACGATAAACCTGATGAAAGACCTCATAAGAGAATTCAGACAATAACAGATAATAACAAGCCAATCACAGCAAGTGATACCAATTCAAGTTCCAGAACACTTGGTCATGGCTAAGGAAGGCGGTCAGTGACCCTCCAAGCCTATGAGAAGGAAGGAAGGCGTTTAGTGACCCACTAGCCTGTGGCAGCCTATCCAGGAAAGTGTCTATTGGCACTCAGACTTTGAGAGCCAGTTTCCTAACGACTGACTAACCTAACGAGCACTTGTACAACCAACAGTGAACAGAAGATACATATAACTGCAAAATTTAAATAAAATTAAGCATACGCCACTTACCTGATAAAGCTATACGTGATAACGAAAATTAAAGTTGGCATTAAACCATATTAACAAATAAAGCAAAATCAAACGAAATATTCTTCACATGATAAGGCAACATGGCGAGGTAATAGGAGTAAGCCGTGAAGGGAGAGAAGGTGCTCCGGGCGAAGGGAGAGAAGTGTTAGTGAGAGCCGTGGGCGAGGCAGGCGGAGGTACTGACACTGGAGTTCGTCGGCGTGGTTGTCGCGGCAGTCGGGCCACCCGTCGCACCAGTAGTAGCGGTGCACCCGCATCCCGGACCCGCACACCGCGAAGTTCTCTGTCGGCGACCACCAACACACTCACGTCAAGGTTATTATTGTGTATGGGGGGTACCCGGCAGTGCCCGGGGTCCCTCTCTCTCTCATACAGTAACTTTAGATATTACAATATATTTGAGACAAGTGCTGCACCATTACTGTACAGAGTAATACATTATTGATTATTGTACAAGTATGATGCACAAAATAACCTGAACTATAATCCTTCCCGAATTTCTGATACTGAAGTCATGTTAAGTTTCACACAGAGTACATGTATTAGGGAACCCCATTAAATTTCAATATCGTATTGAACCGACATTGTATATATCCAAATAATGTGATAAATAAATGCGCTTATCACTTATTATGCCTCAACCAAATTGCATTTCTTAACGAAACATTTTTTTCTAAAGGTATAAAAAAGAACAACATTGGACCATTACTTGCCAAATGTTAATAAATGCCATCTTCAGAGTTAAAGTCGATTGATTGTGGACT